CACCAGCCGAACCGCAACGCGACTGCTTGGCTGTCACAAGCATCGGCAAAACAAATAGCAAACACCGATTTTCCTGGCTCGGGTGGGGTTTCCGAGAATGAGCATGCCGGCGCGACTCATTGGATCCCAGAATGCGTCTCTTGGGTCTCCGTGACGCTCGGTGGGAACCACGCTTCAAGATGACAATCACGGGCTTGCCGGCTCAGTCAAAGGCACGGCAAATTGCGTAAGCTGCAAATGCATCGGCGCCTTGATATCTGTCCGTACCCGTTGGAAAGAGGGACCGAAACTTTGTTGGGAATGTCAAGTCTAAATATTACTTGTATACGTGAGAATGCAGCGGCAAACCCACCCGACTTGGCCGCTTCGGACTCCGATACAAGCATCATGACACAGGCCTCCCAGGTCAGATGAAAAGCAACACGCCCGAGATTCCGGTAGGTCTCGATTCAGGAGCAGGTGGCTTTCCCCCGACGCCCATTCTGCCGTCTCCTTCTTTCGTTGACGCTGGCGGCGCGCAACGTCAAAAATAGGCGATACATGTCTGGCGTCTGCTCACATCGAGGACCTGAAGAATGAACTGGCAATCCACCGGGACTAATCCTTGCTTTGCATTGAGCATCGGGCTCGGCGGCAATCCCAAATTCCAGGAAGCCCGATCCGCCGTGCGGCGCGATGCCGGCGTTGTGGCACGACTGAATTACAAAGTGCACACGCGCATTTCTTGCCTTGGCTAGACTTGCGCTCAGATTGGATTTTGGCTCTACGGCCGGCCACCTCGGACGATGGACGGTACAGTCGCTCTAGGATACGGGACCGTCAAGGAAAGGACAAAGACTGGACTAAAAGCTGATGAGTGCGAGAGCGTGCGAAGAGCCATTTAGGGTGCCGCTTGCCATCTTGTCACTTCTTTGATTTGTGGCAGCAGTCACTTCACCCAGCGTTGATTGACGGGGATGGGGTCTTCCATCGCGGCGGACATAACACGTTGCTCCCGAGGGAGCTGGAGCATCCACACACACAAACTGGAGACTCGAGGCGTTGGACCCAGCAGTCTGGGGACGGCGCGATAAAAAAGGACAGGGCTCAAGGGCTGAGTTCCCAAGTCGACGATGCTCGAATCAGGGCGAAGGGGGCCTCGAGACGCCCTCGGAAACGACTGCTGGGTTTGGATTGACTCGTTGGCATCCAGCCCATTGGGTTCAATCGTCCGACCCAGCGGCGTAACACCTCGTGGCGTGCTCGCCGGCCTTGGGACGAGCTGAGCTGAGCAATCATTCGGGGTGTTCTCCCTGGCCATCAAAACCTGCTTCGCAGGCAGCAAGCAGCAAGGGGAAGGGAGAGGAGGAGAAGGCAAAGCCACAAACTCTGTCCGTGAGCTCGGGCTCGGGTATCGGCGTCAATGACAACAGTCTAGTCAGTGGTGAAAGGATTTGGATCAAGATGATGGTTGACGGCATACTACGGTAGGTAGCCTTCAGCCCTCATTTGGCGGGGAGGCGAATTGACCAAGTCGCTGAGTTGCCCCCCGGTCACCATCGACCAACAGGCAACCTCCGCGAAGATGGAGCTAAACTACGCTTGGGGACGTCAGCGAAGAGGGAAGAGACGACTTTGAGTGAGCGAAATGGACGCACACCAGGGGACATTGATTGCTCCCCCTGGCGCTGGACTGGAACCTGGGAAGGACCTCGTTGCTCACTAAAGACCCCCTGTTAATCACCCTGCTTTCCAGGGCACCCGCTAGAGGTCCACTGGCGCGCCCTGGTCATTGTCGACTGAGCTCGTTGGTGTGCGTTGCACACCCCCTTGGAGTAGGGCGTGTTGTGGGAGGGGGCTTGTCATGGGGGAGGGGCAGAAAAAGGATGAAAAAGCAAAAAGAGGAGGCCAAGGCGAGCGAGGTGGGAGCCGTTAAGGTGGGAGGGACCTGGGGCAAGCGACCAAACTTACAGAGGATACAGCAGCACAGGGGAACAGTTGAAGGGGGGGGGAGGCCTTAGCAACCCGGAAGCCACTCGGCCCACGCAGCCATTATACCATGTACCAAGTGTCTGTATTGGTACCGGTATGAATCGCCCCCAGTGGCTGACGAAGCAGGCCCGCAAGGTACGAGGCCTGCCATTGTTAGCCGGCCGAGGACATGGACACGCGGGTTGCTCGGTTTAGAGCAGTCCTGCCGTGCCGGTAGGAGGCTCGAGGGTCGTGCGGAGAGCTCTCTCGGGTTGGCTTTTGGTTTGGAGAAACGGTGCAAGGCGGCAGCAACGTGGGACATTAGCAATTCGAAGGGGGGCACCCGAAGGCGATGGCGAAGGTTGTAGTTTCTGTGCCTTTGGCTGTGGGGGATGGTGGTGTTGCCAACGATTCAACCATACTTTCCGAACCGAGGCTCGCTCGAAGCTTTGGCAGGAGGGGGAAGTGAACGGCCACGGCATCTTTCCGTCTGGTCGACCGTCTGCCTGCTTGCTCCGATGGCAGCAGTTGCGATGACGAAAGAGGAACAACAAACGGAGCTTCATGGGCCGATTCGGACAGCAACTCGGCGCCAGCAGCAGACGATGGATGACGGCAAGAACGTCTTCACCATGAGGGAAGCTCGTTGATCCCTCGCCCTCCGCAGGTTCTCGGTTGCTCCAACCGAATCCCCCAGAAACACGCGCCTCTCGGCACCTGTCGTCTGATTTCGACACCGCAGCGGAGACACCGCAGCGGAGACATCGCCGTCGCCAAACCTTGCCCTTCTGCGCCCTCCCTCCCCTCACGAACTGCCGTGAAGCTTCTCGGCCATGCACGACGTCGGGCTTGCGATCCGTATTGACTTCGCTTCGCCTAATCCTGCGAGTGTGGAATGTGGCCACTGGAATTCCGCGGGAACCAGAGCTAGACAGCTTCGCGCACGCGCATCTTGTCTGCTCGGCCGTCTCCCCATCACTGTACCGTTGCATCAGTGCGCCCTCGGTTTTTGCGCCTCCAAACCTCGCGAGTCACAGCGCCGTCCGAGGACCATCCAAGACTGCTGGTACTTCCGTCGATGATACGGTTCCTCCCCTCCTCCTCCTCTGACACCGACACAGCGCCGTCATTGATTTACCTGCTCCTTCCATCATACTCACCCAGGAAAGTGGAAGGCTGCCAACCCGCGTCGCGTGTTTCGAACTGCAAACAAGAACCCGTTGTTGCCGCTTCTTGGGCTCTGGAGTCTGGGTCGACCAGTCTACTGTAGGCACCTCTCCTTGCGTTCTTTCGCCCTGTTTTGCCCACCCTCACCCGCCCATCCCCGATACCGCGCGAACAGAGCCGGGACGGTCGAGATCGAAAAGAGCTTGCCTCGCCTTGAATGCTTGGCTTACTACACCTTGCCGTTGGGCGACGGAATACGGGACGGAACCTGCGTCTGTACCTGCACCTGCACCTGCACCTGCACCTGCATCTGTATCTGCACCAGTGCCCCATGTCGCTGCCGTCTCGGCTGGCATCCGCCTGTCTTGCCCTCTGTGTGTGTTTGTGTGTGTGTGTGTGCGTGCGCGCGCGCCTGTCTTCCTCCTACCTACTCGCTACACCCCCAACACCGGCTCAGCGTTGCACTCGCTCGAGCCTCACTGCATATGCACATGCATAAGGCACCAGCAGAATACCACAATTATTGCATTCCTCACGTCTTCTCGGATTCTTCTTCCCATTTTCTCTTCCCCCTTCCGCCGCTCCGCCAGCTTCCTGCATATGATTTGGCACATACGCCCCCCCTTCCTGTTCTCCGTCCATGTAGGTACACACACACGTAGGCACACACATGTATCAGCACAACACGGTAGCATACCTACCAGGCCTCCTTCTCGTCCATGGCTTGCCTCCTTGCACCACCACCTCCCGCACCAGGTCGTTGCTCCCTTGCCCGTTGACCGTCCCCGTCCACAAATGAGCGAGCCGACAGCTAGGCACTGGCTGTCCTCTGCTCTTCCTTTGTTCCCCGTGTCCAGTGTGTCCGTCCCTCTGGAGACAAGATACGCCAGACTGACGCACGATACAGCAGGCTTGCCTCCGTCGCAAGCCAAGGCCAGGACTCGGGCATCACGCTAACTTAGCCGTGCGGGCGGCCCCAACTGATCTTCAACGTCGACAAACCGCTCAAAAGAAACTTGCAAAAAATCAAAATCGGAACCGACAACCAAGGTACGCACGCTACAGGGAACATGGAGTGTGGCCCGGTACATTGCCCACCCACCACCACCCTTCTATCCATCCATCCATCCATCCATCCATCCACCCACCCACCAAAGTTCCCGGACGCTTGGCCTGGTTGTCCACCCCCTCCACTTCCCTACGACGTGATCGTCCCTCGCTTTGGGCACTCACATGGGGGGCCTCTTCTTGGGCTCCCGAAACCTTGAGTCAAGCCCTGGTCCTGGTATGCAGCTATCCAGCATTAGCACGGGCAAGGTTCCCTCCAACACGTCCGTCCCAGGGCTATGACATTCCTGCTATTCCTATTCCTCTCCCACATCAATGTCCGTCATCTCCTCCCTACATTCCATAACCTCTGCTTCTTCCCATCAAAACCATCTTGCACACAGGCCAAGTGATCCGTTCTTGTTTTCCACCTTCTCCGCCGTCGACTCACTGTCATCATCACCTTGACAGCTCGATACTGACGCCTGACGTCCAGATCAACAACCCACTCGACGTAGGGACTCGCGATTTCTGTTCAGGGAAGGATACATACCACCACGCCAGCGGCGCACTTTTGGCTTCGACCGTACCCGACTTTCTGCCAACGGCGCACCTTGACCCATTGACCTATCCGATATCCGCACGAGGACACTGCAAAGGCGCAGCAGGGAGATTCCGTATTTGAAGGACAGGCCGGACCGGACTTTTGTGTGCGTTCGCATTGGATCCGGACCTGACCAACGCGGCCGCCTCGATTCTCGACCGTTGTTAACCACGCGCACCTCGCTTACACCGCCGTTGCCCATGCTTCTCCACGAGGTCAAACAGCAGCAGCCATGGTAATGCTGAGCGACCATTCCATGCGTGCGAGCCTTCAAGTGGCTCCTCTCAAGCTTCACAAATCCCAATCTTGCGATGCGCTGTCCTCGAAACAGGACCACTACAGCTCCAAGTCACACATGACACCACCCGCGACACCCAATGGCTCGCAGGAAGACCTGGCCGCGGAGCAGCTGCCGCCGCCCGTCTTCCACAACTTCCTGCGAGCCTTCTATCCCTTCCATCCGAGCTACGCCATGACCGACTCGAGCGTCACCCTGCCATTGAACGAGGGAGACGTCATCTTGGTGCATTCCATCCACACGAATGGCTGGGCTGATGGAACCCTGCTGGTATCGGGTGCGAGGGGATGGCTTCCGACCAACTACTGCGAGGCATACGATCCGGAAGAGATGAGGAATCTGTTGAAAGCTTTACTCAACTTCTGGGATCTGCTGCGTAGCACATCAGTCAACGATAGCGAAATATTCGGCAACCAAGAGTTCATGAAGGGCATCATCGCTGGAGTGCGGTATCTCTTGGTAAGCCCCCCACCGCCCAACGCGGCTGCGCCGGGCATCATGTTGCTGACACATTAAGGAACGCACGCACTGTCTGACTAGAGAATCTGCCATCATCACTCGCAACGACAGCCTGAGGCGGGCCAGGAAGACGCTGCTCTCTGAGCTGTCTGCCTTGGTAAAGACGGCGAAGCGGTTACAAGAAGCACAGAAGGGCGTGGCCCAACACCGGGAAGACGTCAATGACATAATTGACGAGATGATCCTCAAGGCCTTCAAGATCGTTACCAAGGGCGTGCGGTTCTTCGACATCCTCGAGGATGACCGCCGGCAACGTGCCCCTGCAGTCACAGTCATGGCTACTGTCATTGAGGAATCGTACATCCCCCGACGCCACCTGCAGATCACATAGACTTCGAAGAGGCTCCCAATGCAGGCTCCCGAGGACCGACAAACGCAACACCCACCCGGGGTACGCCCTCGCAGCCGAGCGATGCCGCACGAACATCCAAGGGACCGACTGGCAGGCGGCTTTCGACCGTCTACTCGCCCGCCAGCCCCAATTCGCACCGATTGTCTCAGAATGTCAAACGGCTATCCTCCAACATCTCGCATCGCGTCTCACTGGCCGGCCCTTCGCCTTTGTCAAGGCCGCATCATCTTGTCTCGGAACGCCTCAACAAAAGCCACGATACCTTCTTGTCACACCTGGGCTCTTTTATTGGTCGTCTCCACCTGCAGTCTCAGTCCCGGCCGGAGTTGGCCTTCGCCATCAAGCTCTCAGCAACGTCCGGTGGGGAACTGTTGGCCGTCGTCGATGTCGTGTGCGGGCAGAGCACCAACTCGGAGATGCTGGCGCGGGCCAGGGACATCATGTTTGAGCGTATCCGCGAATTGGTAACAGCAGCAGGCCAGATCATTCGTCATGCCGTGTTCCAGGATGCCGATGTCATCATGCCCCAGGACAACAGCATGTTGTTGATGGCCGCCACGGGCTGTGTCAAGGCCGCTGGCGAGTGCGTGGCCAAGACCAAATGGGCGATCGAGCGTGTTGGCGACTTCGAGTGCGAGTTCGAGGTGGGTGACTTGGGTATCGACCTGAGCGTGCTGGACCTCGGCCCTGAGTCCCATTACCGGCGTCCATCCAATCCCCCGTCCGTGGCAGAGACCGCGACGACGGAGGCGACTAGCGTAGCGGAGTCTTCCGACTCCGTCCAATCCGTTGTGCCGGCAACGCCCCACCACCAACAACGACCGAGCATCGTCGCCAACGACAAGCCGCTGCCTCAACTCCCACAGGGCGACGATGCCAAGGCGGCTCAAGGTCATCGACGTCGGCCCTCTTCCCAAAATTCATCTTCTTCCAATTCACGACCTTCATCACTCAACAATGACAATCCTTCGAACACGATATCTGCCGTTCCGTCGGTTCGGCCGACTCTGCCGCCTCTTCCCAAACTCTCCACATCCCTGCTCCCGGGAGATGAGTACAGCCCCATCGAAAACAACAACCAGGATGGCGACTATAACGCATCTTCTCGTGTTGACAGCATGGCCGTGTCGAGTGCCGGCAGCAGCAGCACTTATCTCAGCCGGGACTCCGAGGCTAGTCTAGTCTCCCAAACCTCTACCCGTGCAACCACTCCCGATCACACCTTGGCCCCGAGACTCAAGCCGTCAATGTCAGAGCTCAGCAACTCTGGAAGCGCAAATGGCAACAGTGAAGAAGTGGACGATGTCGAGTCTAAGATGCTCGAGAAGACGTACGCTCACGAGCTCGTGTTCAACAAGGAGGGCCAGGTCACCGGCGGGTCACTCGCTGCTCTCGTTGAGCGCCTGACGACACACGAGTCTACTCCTGACGCAACCTTTGTCTCGACGTTTTACCTCACTTTCCGCCTTTTCTGCAGCCCCCTCAAGCTGGCTGAGACACTCATCGACCGCTTCCACTACGTAGGCGAGGCCCCCCATATGGCAGGGCCCGTTAGATTGCGTGTGTACAACGCCTTCAAGGGCTGGCTCGAATCGCACTGGCGCGACGAGACCGACCGTGAAGCCCTCACCCTCATTGAGCCCTTTGCCCAGTTCGAGCTCGGTGCCGTTCTGCCTTCTGCTGGACGACGCCTTCTAGAGCTGGCTCAGCGAGTGTCCAAGGACATTGCGCTTGTGCCGCGCCTCGTGTCCTCCATGGGGAAGACAAACACCTCCATCGCGCAGTACATCCCCGCCGATACCCCTCACCCGCCATTGGCCATCACCAAGAGCCAAATCCATCAGCTCTTCACCTGGAAGAACGGTGGCAGCAACCCTACTGTCCTCGATTTCGAGCCCCTCGAGATTGCCCGCCAACTCACCATCAAGCAGATGAACATCTTTTGCTCGATCATGCCCGAGGAGCTTCTTGCATCGCAATGGATGAAGAAGGGCGGAGTTGACGCGCCCAACGTCAAGGCCATGTCGGCGCTCTCGACTGACCTGTCCAACCTCGTTGCGGAAACCATCCTGCAGTACTCCGAGGTCAAGAAGCGAGCCGCCGTCATCAAGCAGTGGATCAAGGTTGCTCACCAGTGTCTGGATCTTCACAACTATGACGGACTTATGGCCATCATTTGCAGCCTGAACAGCAGCACTATCAGCCGACTCCGGAAGACATGGGATTTCGTCTCCGTGAAGCGCCGCGAGATGCTGCGCACTCTGCAGGCCATTGTCGAACCCGCCCAGAACAACAAGGTACTTCGAACTCGTCTACACGATCACGTTCCTCCTTGCCTGCCCTTCCTTGGCATGTTCTTGACGGATCTTACCTTTGTCGACATTGGCAACCCCGCGACCAAGCAGATCCCCACCCTCGGCGGTGATGGCGGTGAGGAGAACGGCGGTGGCATGACCGTCGTCAACTTTGACAAGCACACCCGCACTGCCAAGATCATTGGCGAACTTCAACGTTTCCAGATTCCTTACCGACTCACCGAGATCCCCGAGATGCAAGAGTGGATGGCGGCGCAGATTGTGCGCGTCCGCGAGAGCGACCAGGGCAACGTGCAAGTCAGCTACTACCGCAAGAGTCTGCTCCTGGAACCTCGCGAGATGGCAGCGCGAGCTCCCATCGAGCCCCAGACCACTGCGACGGGCACCCAGCGTGGCGGCGATCTCTTTGGTTGGATGAGCCGAGACCGTGGCACGACAACGCCCACACCATTGTGAGGTCTCGGTGGTAATGCACCCATGTCTCGATGACATTTATCCGAACGCCAAACATCATTTCCACATTTTCGGCAACGAACTTTACCCCTTATTCTGCTTCTCTTTTGATACCCCATTTTCTCACCTCGCTTCGAGGCTTTATGTCTTTAACGACTTTTATCCTCATGATGACCTTCCTACACAGCGTTAATCTGCTTCCATGCCCTGTTGATTTCTGGGCTTGAGGCCTTGTCCGCCGGGACTGGAAACATCGACGCTGGACCTGACGGGCCATATTGTTTGGATGTTGGGGAATCGTCCCCATGTTTGACGACGACAAACAGAAAGATGTGGCGCAACTCGCACTTGCCCTCATTTATTGGATTAGCTCAACATTCGCTTCGAGAATCTGTTGGAACGTCTTGTTCCCTTGTGTGTAACCTACTTTTGAACGGTGTTGGATCGCCCGGAATGGATCGGCGAGGGAGTTGTAAGCATACCAGTCCAGGCTTTTGCGCTTGGACTGGACACCGGCGTCACGGCATGTGGTGCGGTAGGCTCTTTCACAAATGGAGGGCGGCGGCGGCGTCCAAAAGACCAAAATTTTACACTGTATATGTAGGCTAATTCTGTATAACGGCTTCTCATGACGGTGGAAACAGATACCATGAATGGGAAATTCGAATTCTGATGATAACCATTGGCTCTCTTCTGCGCGAGTGACCTTGTACGTTTATGTGAAGCTTTTAAGAATAGTTAAATCGTCACCATAGATCCCGAGAGAGATGGCTAAAGAGTTTGTCTAGTCGTAAAATTTCTTTCTATCTTGCGGTGATATATCTGCCCGTAGACGCAAGTGATGTTTGGGGGCGCACTGCCTCTGATTCGTCGACCTGGCCGCCCGCCCGATTCGCACGCGTCTGGCGAATGGCCTATCCATCCTTGGGGTTTACTTGGGTTTCTTGTCTCCAAGTCTGGGCATACGCCTCGCGCAACCCGTACCCCAGGCCACCAAAGTTTTATCATTTTGACCCCCGCAAAGAGCAAGATGGAAGCCCCTATAGCTTGGCACGCACACGACCCCTCACGCCGTCCTCCTTTTGCGCCCCCAAAGCCTCCCTGGCCTCAGCGTTCAGCCGCCTCCACATCGCCTTGCGTCTCTCGTGGCCCTTCATGAACCTCTCGAACCAGAACGCGTTGAACGGCGGCAGATCCCTGCCCTTCCCGTCCTCGGTCGGCGGGCCAGCCAAGTCCCGCAACGTCTCAAAGTAGTCTTCGAAATCGGGGAACACGAGCGCGAACTTTGCGCCGTCGCCGCGCTTCGCGACGCGGTCGGCTTCCCAGGCGAGCTGGGCTTCCGCCGAGGGGAGCCGGCCGGGCGGGATGCGGCCTGCGAGGAGGCGGGCGGCGAGGACGGCTTGGTATTCGAAGATTTTGAAGGTCAGGCCCGCGTTGACGGCGCCGACGAAGAGGATCGTGGGGTCCGGGGTGTAGATTGTGTGGAGGTAGAGGTTCGGGATGCGGTTGTTCCGCGGGGCTGGCAAGGGCCGTTTCGGTGCGGATGTGGGAGTCGAGGTTGGCGAGGACTGGAAGAAGGGGAGGGTCCAGGTGTATCCCGTCCCGAAGATGATGTCGTCCACGCCGGACACTGACGTGCCGTCTACGAAGTGCACCGTTCGCGTGTCCGGCTCGACGCGCGCGATGGAGGGCACCTTGGCGATGAGCGGGTGCTCAAAGGCCTCGCCGCCGAAATAGCCGTTCAGGGCGTGCCCGACGACGACGGCGGTGACGGGCGGCGAGGCCACTGCGGTCAGGTCGTAGGCGATGTCCGCCGCCGAGACGGAAGCCCCGACGACGACGACCTTCTTGCCGGCGTAGGCGTCGCGGCCGCGGAAGTGTTTGCTGTGGATCACGCTGCCGGGCCTCACGGCCGCGAACTCGGCGAGGCCCGGGACGGCGGGGATGTACGGGACGGAGTAGTGGCCCGACGCGACGACGAGGGCGTCGAAGCGCTCTTCCCACCAGACGTCCGTGGCGGCGGCGGGGTCTTCCTTGCGGAGCGTGAGCTTCCACTCCTCGTCGCCCGTGGTTGTGGAGGAGACCTTTTCGGAGCGTTCGACGGTGGTGTTGTAGCTCACCAGGTCCTGGTACCCGCGCCGTTCGACAAGGGAGCGGACGTAGTCTTGGACAAGGGACCAGTGGCGGAAAGGCGTGTCTTCGCCGTGGAGGGCGCGAGAGAGGGCTGATGGGGCCGTGGGGAAAGGCTCCTGGGTGTATTGCATGGGGACGTAGTCGACGTTTGTTTCCAGGTAGGGGTAGACTGTGGACTCGGCGTATCGTGGGACGGACGAAGTGGAGGAGGGGGACCTGGGGACCTGGGCGGGGAGGACGGGAGGGACGCTGGGATGAGGAGGATCCGCTGTTCGGGAGGCGAGGCGGGCGAGCTCGTGGGGTTGGAGGAGGGGAGGCGGTTTGGTCTCACCCAGCCTGTAGGTATTAGTGAGACGCTTGTGGTCACGGTAATGTCTAATGATGAGGGGGTGCGCGATGCAGGGGACGATACCCGTGGAGTAAGCGCAAGTAGGCTCTGAGAAGAAAAGAGAATACTCACCAGCAACCTCCCGGGGCCTCACGACGCTCAAACACCCTGATGGTATCAAACGCCTTCTCTTGGGCGAGCGCATCGATGGCGATGGCACCGGCTGGTCCTAGGCCAATGACTGCTACGCGCTTCGCGGGCTTCATCTCGGGCAGAAACCGCTCGAGGACTTGCAAGTTTAAGTGGAGGCGAGACAAGAGTGGAAGACCGTGATTGAGAAACGCTTGAGATTCCCAGTCTTATGAAAGTGTGAGAGACTTCTGCACCTGCAGCTGGGCCCGCACGAGGTTAACGCGGCCTTTGGAGCTCTTGCACGTGTGCGATGCAGACGCTCGGGGGAACGGGTCCCGGCAACACGGAGGCGGATCCAGGCGAGCGTCAACGACACCGGTACCGATTGTCCAATGACAAGACAATTCTTAGGGCTGACTGGGCTCATCGAATGCCCCTCCTTGAGTCTATTTCACGTTCATCCCGATTTCGCGAGCTTCAAACCCCGATAACCATGAGATAAAGGTTCGGCATTTGCCTTGGCGCGATGGTGTGAGATTGCGTGCTCGGGCAGGATGGGGCAGTGAGGAGCATCCGGACGTCCAAACGGCCGGTCAAGGGTGGGACTCTGCAACGGTATCGGGCTAATCAGCGGGGTCGTCCAACTCAATTTCCCCTGCCCGGCCGGCGTGGCATATGGCGACGGCAGCCTGTATGGACAGCTGGGGGGCGATGGCGTGACGGGTCCCAAGGGCGCGGCACCGCGAAGAGACAAGTTGAGGGGCTTCGGGACGACAAGGGTTGGCAGCACGGCATGGAAGTAAAGTTTTGTAAGAGGGATTTGATTTGTCTGTACCGGGCCGGGCTGGAGGCGGTGACATTGGCCTAGCGATGGTGCAAAGGGGAGCTTGTAGGTTGCAAATGCCGAGATGGGTGTGGAGGATGCGAGGAGCTCGTGCAGGTTTGGTAGTTAACGCCCACCATGCCTCGTCTGTTTAGACCCATTCTGTGGATTGACATACTCTCGTGCCCTTTGTTTGTGTTTGAAAACTGACAAGATGGGGGAGCCTAAGCAGGAAGACTTGCGGTTCTTCGACTCACAGGGGCAGGAGACGCCCATCTCTGAGCCGGACTGGACGGAAAATGAAGAGACTCGAGCGCGACGGAAGTAAGTTGGGGTCCATCACAGTTGTACTATTTTGTTCTAAGGGTATTGGCTGAACAATGTACCTCCAGGATCGACAGCTCGGTGCTTCCGCTGCTGTATCTCGGCCTCCTCGTATTCCAGCTTGACCGCATGAACCTAGCGAGCGCTCTCACAGGTGGCTTCGCGAAGGACATAGGCGTCAACCAGGACACGATCAATCTCGGGAACCAGCTCATGTTTCTCGGTATTGTCATCTTGGAGATCCCTTCGAACATGCTCTTACAGAAGGTGAGCAACGTGCAGCAACCGCATACACTCAGGGCAGTGGATGGCGTGGCAAGACAGGATCTTGACTGACAAGACACTGCCTAGATCGGCCCGAGAAAGTACATCTCCGGACAAGTCGTGCTCTTTGGCTTCGTGGCTACCATGCAGGTCTTCCTCGTCGACCGCAAGGGCTTTCTGGCTTCGCGGATGATGCTCGGTTTGGCGGAAGCGGGGTATATACCCGGCGCATGCTATACGCTATCCACGTGGTACACCAAGAAAGAACTGGCTAAACGCATCGCCATCTTGTTGGTTCTTTGGTGAACTAAGATGTTTCTGGGCGTCCACTGACGCGCTACTAGTTTCTTCGGAATGTTCAGCGGAAACGCTCTGAGTCCCATCCTTGCGTCGGGCATTTTGAAGCTCGAGGGTGAACGAGGTCTAAGGGGCTGGCAATGGCTTTTCCTGAGTACGTGTTTCCATCTTGCTATATCCCATCACACCCAGAGCCAGATTTCGCGTCTCACAAATCCCGGTAAACGCTAACACAGTCAACAGTCGAGGGTGTTTTCACAATCTTCGTCGGGCTGTCGCTCCTCTTCCTCCTCCCAGGCTCCCCCGACACACCGGACCCGCTACTGAGCCCCGGGGTCGTCCGCTTCAAAGGCTCAGAAAGAGCAATTCTGCAAAAACGTCTTGAGATCGACGATGAAGAGAAGAGAGGAGGTGCCCAAGGAATGCAAATTCCCCTGAAGCTCGTATGGAAGACCATCTTGCACTGGCAACGTTGGCCACATTTCCTTAGCAGCTTCGCAGTATTCTCCACGTGGAGTCCGCTGACGACTTATACTCCGACTATCATCATGTGGGTCACTATCAAGTTCACAAGCCAGGGCCAAATGTGCCACATTGGGACTATGATTGGAAGTCTAGGCGCTGACATGAGACCAGGAACCTCGGCTTCAACCGCATCCAAGCAAACGCCCTCGCTGCGGTTGGCGCGTCTCTTGCCCTCGTTGTCGTCTTCATCTTCGCTTACATCAGCGACAAGACCAATAAACGCGGATTCTCTGTCATTGGCGCTCAAGCATGCTACCTAGTCGTTCTCATCGTGGCGCGAACGGTACACCCTCACGTCGGGAAATGGTCTCGTTGGGGCCTCTGGACGGCCGTGAACAGTTTTGCTGTGGGATACCACCCGGTCAACAACTCATGGGTGCAACTCAACTGCCGCGAACCCGGGGAGAGAAGTATCAGTATTGCGTAGGTTTTTACTCCATCGAGCTGAAAAGATTTGAGGGGAAAGAGACTAATGGTTGCAATAGGATGTGGGTAATGCTTTCGATCAGCGGTCTAATGGTCGGCACCCAGTATTACCGAGCAAACGACACTCCTTTGTTGGTGATCCATTCATATACTCATCTATTATCGGTTCCTGACGTTTTTCCAGTTATCAAACGGGACTGAGAACCCAGATCATCATGGTCTCAGTTGGCATGGCGTTTGCGATTCTGCAGGTCACCATCTACATGACTCACAATAAACGTGTGGCCCAAGGGAAGCATAAGTCTCGCAACGGCGAGATTCCTCGCATATATGTTCCATAGGTTTAGTACTTATTCAGTTCTGTCAAGATTGGCATACTCAGTTACATAGGCTCAGACGCTGATGTACCCCTTGTGGGTGAAAGATTACGTGTAAATCCATTTCTGAGAATGACCCTTTATAGATGATTCAAGAAGAGACTCATCACACTAGCGCTGCCACAAAGGGTACGAGAGGCCATCGACTCATCCAATCTTGGCCACTAAAACAAGGCTATTCTCTGCTACGACAAACCATGGTGGAGAGACCTTGGATACAATGGCTTTTTCATGAGCTACGTCGGATCTGTCACGCTTGCTCATGACACCAGCGTTGATGAGATGCATCACTTTGCCATTGTATGTTTCGTCAATGGAAAGTTTGGCGAGAATTGGTCAAAGCTGTATCCTCATGAGTGTCGTAGATTCGTCATTCAGCAGGTTGCTAGGATATTCAAGTTGAGGCCGACTGAGAGGCGTTCCGCCCAATTAATGTCTTTGGCCAAATTTGGAAGCGTGAGCAATTCAGCAAGGGTGCACTGGCACTCATTACAGAGATTTTACACTACGCCACCTACGCAGTCGAGTACAGCAAGCCTGTTGGCAACATCCACTTTGTTGGTACAGAGTACTCTACGGAGTGGAAAGGATACATGAAATGGGCACTTTGTTCGGGTGAACAAGGCAACAGGGAGTTCGTCGAGGCCGTCTTACGAGCGATGCGTGCCAATCTGTAAAGTTTGAAATGAAAGAAATAAAATCCAGAGAGAAATAGTTCCAAATCTGATACGTACAAGTTGATTCTAATAAAGAGTGTATTCCAGCAACACGACAACGACATGATGTATAAATTAATCTGCTCAGATTGCAATTAACTTCCCAGATAATCACACCACTGGCCAACAAAACATATACATCCTGGCACAATGCTACATAACAAAAACTCGCAGTTCAGGGATCATTGATGGCCAGTTCACTTCAATCCTGTCCTGTGACCAAACCCCTTTCAGGAAATCCAGTGCCTTCGGGATGTTCATGAACCTATTGCGATGATATTGCCTTAAGAGAAAGCGTTTGAAAAACAGCCGCTGGTCTTGGGTGCGACATTCTAACGCGGCGATGAATGTGGGCCAGATGAGTATGTGTTCCCCCAGAGTCCCCTCAGGGAACGATTCTAAACTCTTGCGGAAGGATTCAACTAGTTCATCCGAAGAAGCGGCCGGTTTGAACTCGCTGTCATCCGGCAGTACTCGGCGCAGATACATGTTGAAAGCATACTGACGTATGTCGGCTATGAGATTAAATGTGAGGCAATGATCAGGGTACAAGCTGTAGTAATAGTACAGGCAGTCGGAACTTTCCTGGGCTCGGTAGACAATAGCGTCGACCCCGGCGTTCTCACTGACCAGCGGTGCGGCATACACCCGCATCCTGAAACCCATCTTGGTTAGCGGAAAAACATTTCTGTTTCTTGACACGGAACATAAGTAGGAATAAGAAGCATCACTGACTTGCGAATTTGCCGTAACAAGAATTTTCCCATCTCTCCTCCTTCGGAGAGAAACTCTTCGCCTCCCACTGCATCGATGGCGGACTCCAGCATTCTAAATATAATAGGAAAGTCCGGCAGTCCGTTAACCATCACAGAAACCAAAAGCACCACAATAGCCAGAATGACTAGCAGCCTCGTCTCAGAGTCCCACTCTCTCAGGTTCTTTCGATTCGAAAGTTGGTTGATGGCGCGCGCATAAAGTCGATCAGGGTTGATACTTGGCTGGATGGCGGCTCTCCCAGATATGTGAAATGCGGAGACCGCTAGAACAGCGTCCATGACCACGTCGTTTGACCAAGCAGTGGGCAGAAGTAGATGTCTCCAGCCATTGTAGCAATCATCAATGACGACCATTTCGGGAGCAATGGCTTCAGAAACTATTGTTTCGGAGAAAGAAATCACGTTAGACTGTTCCACTAGCCCGTCGAATATCATGATCTTCGGGGGGTTGAATCACTTGAGAATTACTTACAGTGTGTAAGCAGAAACTCTTTCCGGGGCTCGAGTAGACATAAATTAATTGGCGAGAATGGCCATCGATGTATGCTTGGATGATCAACTAGCTGGGTCCTCTGCGAGAAACAAGCCTCGTCGACTTGTCTTGAGGAATCAACTTTTTTTTTGTCGAGGTCTATTGTGTCGCTGCTTGTGCCCTTACTAGCGTTATCGTCCTTTGGAGATTTCGTCTTGGTATGGTCTTCAATCGGGTTACTTGTTTGGCCAACCTCATCATGTAAATGGGACGTAATGTTCCAATAAACCTCATCCCAGCTGCTTTGGGGATTTGATTTCTCATCCAGGACCTTCTGATACCAGATTGGTTTCGTTCGCACAGATGCTTTGGCTGATGATTGAGCGAGCGCATCTTTCAACGGAGCACCCCGCCCTCCCGTTGACGACTTTCGCTTTGGCGAGAAGCCATCGAGAAACTTGTACTTGAGACCAAATCCGCTGCAAGATATGCCTCGATTGCTGCATTTAGCGCAAGTCGGTCGCGTCCCATCACAGTCGATGCGACGCTTGGAGCATTCATAACATCCTACCTCAACTATCAGCTACGCGCTCTCCCATCTCAAAATACAAGTTATCCCTTTCAATAACTGTTTCAGAACACATACCCTTAGTTTTCGGGACGTAGGTGCGTTTCTTGCGAGCCATATATGTCTTCAAGTAACAAGTCTAGCAACAAATCTTGACATCTCGAGTATGACGCTCTTGTTGATGCCAGCGCCGAGTTGTGTCGGGCCCAAGTGCGGGGAAATTGTCTCCCTTGAGCCCGGTGCAGGAACCTTATCTCCACTGGCCGACGCTATTCCTAGAATGGTAATCAGAATGAGAGCAACACACCTTACCCAATCTCTCACTTTTAGCACCTGAATCGGTATTTATCACGAGGGTTCAATTATAGATGAACAGGCTGTTTTACCACATCACGTGTTGCGGTAGCTGTGAGGCACAGACAGCAATGAAAGGGAACGCTCAAGACGTTGTCCGGGTACCCCCCTTCTCGTACTTCATATCTTCAGGCATATTATACACAGAGTCGAAGCTCACCGTTGGTCCAGAGCCATCGCCAAATTTACATCCCTAATGCCCTCGCATCATGGCTCGTACTAGTCAAAAAGCTAAGCGCAGTGAATATTCGTTGACAAGCTGGATGCGGTTTTTCTTACCGCGGGATCAGAAGTGGCCGACTTGGTCTGTAGACCACAATGATGTCCATGTGAGCCCACTTAAGGGCGTGGAAGGTTGGTAGGCAGCATCACTGGGAAGAATAGTTAACACCCCTGAGCAGGCCGCCTACATTATCCGTGAGTGCAATCTACATTAGAAATGCATTTCAACCTCTTTGACTAATCGTATTGTAATACTAGACAGAATGGGTTACCCTGGATGCCGTGAAGAACTTCCACTGCGGCGACGCCGCCGTATAGTGGCGCCAAAGCCAAAGCCCGAACACCAAGGAGATGATCAGTGATTCTTATAATCACATAGTGCACCCAGTTAACAAGCAGAAATCAGAGGACAATGTCAAACCTGAGTTGGAATAAGTTATGTACTTGTGGGTCATTTCAAATTTCTGAAGCAAGCCAGCAAAAAATGGACGAATGGTCGCATCTAGTCACTCGGGTGCTCCTGGTTCAACTAAGCCGCCTGTTTGTGGCAGCAAACCATACATGAGACTGATAGGACAACTAATCTGCTGTTCTTAGCGATCTGCCGGTTCTGGGTTGTGATAAACTCGGAGAATGGTCGACTCCGTGGATTGGTTTGCAACGTCATACCCACCGGTGATGAAGAAGTATAGGGAAGTAAGCGGGAACACATGAGTTAGCAAACGCACCAGCGTTGTCTTCCGAGATCGAAAGGAATGCCCATGTGTTGAAACTGTCTTCATCAAGCTTCTCCTTATCCGCATAGTGGTGCACCTACTGTACCTCGTAGTAAAACACCAGCGATGGAGGCTTCTGCCCACAAGTTCCCGTCATTCGTCGCCGCCGCCTGCGCCTCAATGAAGGCAAGTAGGCACCGATATTAACGGAACTTTTCGAAACATTCTCGGTGGATATGATGACGGATGGGGAATCTTCGCCTTCCAAAGTTGGGTAATGTAGGAATGCCCTCGTACAAGGACAGGGAGGCGAGGGCGTCAGAATCCGACTTCCAACATCGGAACAAGATTTGATCAATGTTAATTTTGGGATGAGTCCTCCTAAGTATCATATTACAAAAGAGGACAAGCGGATACGTATACACTCTGAAGTGAGTGCTTTCTTACCCCCCGACCCCCCAGACATATTGCCCATCTTTTCCCTCTTTAATATACAAATAAACGATCACACTCCTATGGCAAGTGAGGCAAGGACTCGGTTCAGGGTCACTTAGGCTCACATATATCTACTCGCACTATGGAAGACGCAGGAATCTAAAATCTGACAGGCTTTTGGAGTTTCTGCCTGGAGAATTCTGTTCATCTGACAGTGTATTAATCCTGACTGTAGAAGATTCATGTGGAGCATCAAGGCACATTCCTCCTCCTCTTCCATGGGTTTGTGAAGTTCGGTCCGGAATTCCCCGCTCAAGAAGGCTCACCACGGAGGATTGTCATCTCTACCCTCTACCAGTGGTTGTCCCGATACTCCTTGTAGTCCACTGGGGTTTACCAAAGCTTTGGCTAGCTCCAGTGTAACAAACTCTATCGCAAATCGTGTTACCCAGCCTACTGTCCGGCGAAGAAGAATATTACAGAGAGGGGATTCCCATGGTCCTTTGAGCTTGATCAACTAGATCACAAAGAAAAGGTGCCGCTTTTAAATCATCATACAGACATACTGCTGTTCTTCTGGTAGACGTATGGATGAGGTCTCATAATGCTATATAGCTGTGTAGATCTCGCACTCTTCATCAGGCGGCGGCGCAACTGTAAGCCATCCAGTCTCAAAGACAGGCAATCGCGTCTTGAGCATCTCAACGCGGGCCACATCCCAGAACGGGAATCCCAGCCAGCGCCACTGATCCAGCTTCTGCCGCATCCAGATCTGCTGGCGGGCCATGATGTCCTCCTGTCCCGCGGGCAGCACTTCCCGGCGCGCGAGCGTGCCCCAGCGCTGGCAATCGAGACTACCGTGTCCGTCGACCCATGCGAATGGTGGAGCGCTGGGGTCGTCTTCGGAGGGCACCAGCGGCGGCATGGAATTCTCTCGCTGGTAAAGTTCGTGACGGAGGCTTCGAGACTCTTCAGCCATACGCCCAGAGCCTGCATGAAGGGATATTGGCCCCGCTATGAGGAATTGGAAGTGAGCCGAGGCCGACACCTTGCTCATGGCCGTACGCGCGCAATGGCTTGACAGAAACGCCGTCGTCAGCCCTTTGTCTGCCGCCAGGCGCTTGCGTTCGGCAACGATTTTCCTATGCAAGGTGCCAAGGTTACAGAGCGCCTCATCCTTCTCCTTCTGCAGCCGCGTCTTTGACCGGCCATGTCTCCGCCTGTCTACCAGTTCCGTTTCTTTGGAATGGAGGAACGCACAAGATTGCACCCAGCGCACAAAAGAGTGGATATCAGCGAGCTGGTGCATCTCCCAAGGTTTCAAGAGATCGAAGAACATGTGAACGACTGCAGCTCCGCGCGACAGCGTGGGACTACACTCGAGGTGTGCAAGGATTTGGTGACGAAGAAGAGCCTGAGCGAGGCGCCGGCGCTCGTTTACCGTCAGCGAACCGCCGGCGCCAGGATGTACCTTGCGGAGCTTTTTGAGCTTAGATGCGGCGATCTCATCGATGAGGAATTGCACGCTGCGGTTGAGTTGAACGATTGCGACGGCCGCATCAGCAGATAGGCCACTCGCGGATGCCAGTCCTCCATTACTGCGGGGTAACGCCTTGTATCGTTGGATGACTTTCTCGATTTCATCAAAGTATGTTGCCACTCTGTCTTCGAATCTTGTAGGCGCTATCAGCGTTGCGCCAACGGCGTCCCGCAGCGCAGGACCCAGGTCTCTGGCCACAATAGCTACCAGCACTGCCCGCTTAGCCGATAGGAAGATCCTGTAGATCGCAGGCGAGGCGCGTATGAGTGCATGGAGGTCGGCTATGGATATCAAGGCGGATAAAAGCGCCACGACCAAGTCAATAGGCAGAGATTCGAACAAGGAGAGGGACTGCTTTGGCAACACCTGGTCCATTATGCAGAGCATTTGCTGCATGTGTGGGCATGTCCCACTGTGACTGTGATATCACAATATTTAGGTTGAAGTCGAGGCAGAGCTAGCTGAGCTCGGGTATGTGATGTATGTAGTAGGTAGATAAAGGGGGACGCGAGAGGATGGCGCATCTCCAAATGCTTATGAAGGAGGTCGAAGGATAGTATATTCGACGTAGCCCCACAAATTTAAGGCATCCGTCCTGCCAAGACAATGCAATAGAGTCGACAGCCTCGCCGTCGTCGTCGTCGGCGGTGTGTATGTCATGGGTCGACAAGCACCGCATACCCTGTATTCCTGGTGGTTGGTCATGGCTCCGGCCTTCAATTTGTTCATGGCCTAATATTCAGATCGTGTGGAGTGGGATGCTGTTGGCAACTCGTCTGGTACACCGATTATTCTGCGTCTCCCACTTCCCTATCCCGCCTTGCAATATTTTGCTCTATCACTCCTACCTCACTTTTCACGTCCATCCAATCATCTGATAGCTCCACCGTTCAACCGCGCCTTTGATTGCGGGCCTTGTAGCCTACTGGCGCATTCCTCCCGATATCGAGAACGGGTGAGGAGAGGTGCTGAAAAAGCCTGCCAATGTGAAGAATATTCTAATGTAGATGCAATACATGATCGAAGAGGATAATATTCCTTCAGATCTTGTTAGTACCTAGGTGCTTGGCGATAAAAGTTATAGTCCCGGCGTAGATCTTCTTGGATCCGTGCCTTTCATCTGGACTAGGCAGCACAATGAGAGTAACTGTCTCACACACCAGGACGCCCGCCCCAGCTGCCCCAAGAGTAAGCTCAGCGAGCTGCCATTGTTCGGCGCCGGATGTCACCAGCAGAGGCGCCAGGAAAAGCCAAAAGTCTTTGAGGCCGTACGCGAAGCCAGCGTCTTGATCAATCTTTCTGCTTCATTATACTGTATTTATGTTGATTTCTATCTTCATAACTAGTTCCTACCTGGCAAGGCATAACACTTCAGTAGACACACTTCTTTTGAAACCATTTATATCACTTGCCAGTTTTATAGCCAAAGCGCATATTGATTGAGCGTTCAGTCGAAACTCGTGAAGTTCCTTATTCCAATGTCTTCGGGCCACAACGAGTCTCCCGCTGCCTTGTTTTTATATGAACCGATATCGTCAACGCTGAAACATGGTATTTTTTACCTTCTGACAGGCAGGCGGTATTATGCCATGTTTCTTTGAGCAAATAAAACAACCGCCTTTAACTAGTGTCACAGCTTAACTCAATATAACCTACTTATCTCTGATACAACTCAAGAAAGATAACCTTGCAACACCAAACTCCTCGTCCTACGCAATAGAGTTAATGGCGTCCTTAGAGTAATTGCTGCAAGTTGCTAGGTCTCATTGAGTAGAAGGTGGTGCTTGAAAGGAGGTCGAAGGCAAGAATCTTCATGGGGCAGTCCGGAGACGTGCATCAGTGTTTCTCGAAGCTATTAGCAGGCCATTCATAGACGCCAAGTCTGGAATATAGCTGTACTCTATACTCATGCATGAAAGACGAATTGTGCTGTGCAACTGCCAAAGGATAGCGATGCTAATGAAATATCGTTCTCCCAAGAATGACCTCTCTCTTTGCAATGAGGCAAGCTGAGAAAGCGGCCCCACTACTCCCGGTAAACCGTACGGGTCGTAATTCGTTATCCTCGATCGCGAGTGTTTCTCCATGGTCCATCACGTCGACGGGTTCTTGGTGGAGAACGAAACGAATCATGACCGGCAAAGACTGCAGAAACCGCGTCCGTGTTGCTTCACAAAACCCCAAACACAGTTATGCATTCGTGCAAAACTTCCTGCAGCCTGCACTCGCATGCCGTCAACGTCGGCCTTACAATCGAGGTCGGCCTCGGCCAGCGTCCGCATGGCAAGCCCATAACCCGCGATCACCCACCGGTCTGAGCGCGAAGAAGGAAGAAAAAAAAATGACGGACGAAATTTTCACCCAACCACTTTTTTCCGTATCCACCTAAACTCCCGTCGACAGTCTATAAAACACCGTCCACTCGCCGCAACCTTTGCTCGATTTTCTTCTTTTCTTCTTCATGTCGACAATACTTCAGAGAATCATTTCTATAGTATTCGACCCTCTCTTGGTTCCCTAAAGGAGCCACAGATCCCACCCTGGTTGATGAGCTACATCCTCGGCACCCTAGAGTGAAGAAACTCTGGTTGCCCTCGCACCCCCCGCAAGGGGGGCGGCAAGGCCCTCGTGGCCATGCTGTATAGAGGGCGGTGATGATCTCGTCCCTGGCTGCGGTCTTGCCTTTGGGCGCGCGGTCGGGGTGGGTGCCGATGGACGTCTGACAGGCCTTTTTTCATTACGGATGGAGCGTTGCTCTGGTCGTGAGGAAGAGATTTCTTTGGTGCTTGGGGTCCGAGCCTGCTAGGCCCGGTTTTTTTTTGTGAAATACGGCGTACCTCGCTTGGAACGCGGTGTCTTGAGAGAAGCTGGGCATCCCGAAGCGGAGCATTCCATTTCGGCGTCCGTCATTCAGACATGTCAGTTGCTGGGCCGGTGCCGGGTTGACGGCGGGGCCTGGCCGGAGAGCACAGCGAAACCGGATTACCCAGAACTACCGCTGGGAAATTACCCAGGATTCGCGGTGCGACATCGCTTGGTGTTGCATGAGAGGACAAGGACAATCTGCAGTCGTGGACACGCGGGTTACGCGAATTCTCAACCTTGTAAATTCATGGTCCCGAGGCCTTGGGCTGGGATGAGTGCAAACCGGACGGTTGGGTAGGGTAGCAAAAGACCATGTCGACGCCGGACAAGGATGTGGTGGTCGGTCGCTGGCTGGACGGGGACCAGATGTCGGGCGGACCCCCCATGTCGTGTGGTGTTGTTGGCCTGGGGATTGGGGAATGTAACCTTTGGAAATCTGGCGCTGGGTGCTGCTGGCACCGTCAAACGTTTGAAAGTGTGGGGGAGAGCTAACGGCGACTTTGGTGAGATTTGGCTCGGGTCGGTTGGCCGCCCTGGTGGACTGTGGTTATCGAGATAGGCCTCTCACGGGGGTCAGATCGAGCCAAGTTTGATTGGATGGAGGGCGCTTGCAGGAAGCTTACTACACGGAAGTTGGCAGTGCGGGCGAGGAGATTCGGCAGATGAGATCAGAGTGGGTTAGATAGATAGAGTCTCATCAGAAAAGAGGCCCGGCAGATTAGTGACGAGTCGCAGCTTAGTCAGACGGGACATGTCGTGAGAAGACGGTCGAGGCCTCGTGCCGTTGGTTCGTGAGGCGGAGTGCAACCTCGTCGATCCAAGGTGCCGTCTGGAGTCAACATAAAGTCACAGACAAGGTAACAGAGAGAAGGAACGCGAGGCAGGCGCCCTTATCTGTGTAACGAACCCACGAGGTGCTGCTGTCGTCGTCCACTGTCGATGCAACTGACCGGTTCCCAGTCCGCGGCCGGGCTCAGCTCCGTCGCGGTGCGGTCGCGGACGGCAGAGCAGCGTCTGCCAGTCTCCCGACTCAGTTGGAGGTTCCCACCCGAGACTCCAGTTGGTGTGTACATAGTGCCAGAGGCCTTTGATAACCTCGAGATAATGGACAAAGCGAGGAGGGTCTCGCACAATGGCCCCTTCACCACCATAGCAGGGTTGTCTGAAGACTCCTTTTGAGTTTCGTCGATGCTCGAGGGAAACGTTACATGCACCTGGGAGCGCGGGCCACATGGACGACGACAGGGGCTGGGGGCTAGCGCCTGGTAGGCCGACGCTTGTCTATCTTGGCGCGCGGCGCCACTATTATTTCTCCGCACGAGGGCGGCGCGGCAGGTGGCAGGTGGCAGGCGGCAGGCGGTAGGCGGCAGGCGTGCACTCGACCGTTCCTACTCTGTTTGTCAAACTGTGTTCGTTGCCGAGTGGAGGCTGGCCTCGAAGGGACTTACCTCACAGAGTACTGCGTACACTACTGTGCTATCAGGAAGGCACGGGAGGGACCCAGTCCACCACGGGTGGTCCAGCTGTATGTATGTACGTATAACAACTATGCGTACTGCGTCAGGAGTTACTGTACGCGTGTGGCAGTCAGGGTCCTGCCGAATCACCCTCGTCCACTTCACCCCCAAAGCAAGGAGAGGCGGCTCGCGACAAGACCAGACGCGACACGGGGTGTCGTCCAATTCGCATCCAGCAACAACGCCACCCGCCAACCGCCCACAAGTCAGCCGCATGCTGTGCCTCGACGCGGATCCCAATCGTCCATCTATCTATCCCTTGCTGCGTAGGGACGAATACAATGTCAGCCCACGGCCAAACCCTCCTCATGTCACAGCAATTAACGCGACTCCGGCACTGCAACGGCACAGTGCGTTCGGCAGGCACGTCGAGGTCGGTCTCTTGGGTGTTGTTGCTGCTGCTGCTGCTGCTGCTGCTGCTGCTGCATGTCATTCCCTCTCCTTCCCCAAACGGCTGAAGCTGCTTGAGGTATCATGGACCAATGGCCGGTCAAAATCCCCAAGGTCGCCCGCCGTCTCGTGATCTCTCCCTCATGTCGTCCAATGGAATTTCCTCCCAGAGTCGGTCCTTCCTCTACCGTGTGAAGTGCGTTCCCCTTATCGATTGGGGTAATGTGGAGACCGACCTCGCTAGGTACCTACTATGTAGTTTTCACCGTTGTCACTTCACTTGCTGAATCCCATGTAGACAAACATGCAGAGACAAAGGAATGGGACACGCGCTGCATGTGTCGGCTGCTGTTTGTCGAGTCTGGATGAAACATTGCTGGCAAACAAACATACATAGTAGGGGAGGGGAAGGCTGGGGCATCTCGGGACCGGGACCCAAAGCCAAAGTAAGCGTTGAATCAGCTGCGCGGGTGTCCGCTCACATTTACCAGGCTCCCACGGGCACCGGCACATCTGCAGACGTGGGTTCGACGGTCTGCCACCCGTGTAGGTACCTAGGTAGTTCGAACCTCGAGTTGCCCTACAAAAGTACTACTCCCTTCGATGCTCTCAACGACGTGCGCCTGTTGCCGCAACCAGCCGCTTGAGGGCCGCCACCGCGTGCCCGCCTGGCGCCGTTGAAGTCTGTCTATTTTCGGATCCCCGATTGCCGTGTCTTTCTGCGCAGCCTGTTGCCTCATCGCCCGTTTGTTCTTTCTCCCTTGTCCAACCGCTGATACTATGCTACCATGTACTATTACATAGTCCCCGTCTTTGTGTCCGTCTATCAGACCCAACCTCACCGACTGGCCCGCGCGTTGTTCGCTATCTCGGTATTGGCCGGCCCGGACCCTGTCGCTGCCATTCCTCTTATCATGTCCGTACCGAATCCCCATCCGTATCAGTGGACTCTGTTAACCCCATCCCGGTTCGTCGTCCCTCTTACCACCCCATCGGCTGGTACCCCGTTGCCCAGTCACGCCCAGACCACCCCCCCCCACCCCCCCCCCCCCCCCCCCCCCCCCCCCCCCCCCCCCCCCCCCCCCCCCCCCCCCGGCTCCCCGCTTCTCAAAACCACCAGCAACTCGCAGGATTCTTGCTGTCTGGCTTTCCATTGTCACCTTTGAACGAAACCGCCACAAGTCCTGGTAGCGTGCCACCGGGCTTCAAAAGGTGGGGGAGGCTTGCTAGCAGGTACCTCGTACCTAGTGTAGTTATCTCTTGCGCGATCTCTCTCATGTGAAGAGAGCCTGGATGACTGAGCGGGCGGCGAGGGGGGTTAGTTGAGCTGGTAGATGGCATGTCCCGTATCCAAGCGTGTCCAATCTGTATGCGTCCCTGATTCTTCCTGAGCATCCATCATCCAGCTGTCACGTAGCTTGCCACATCCCACATCCCCTCCCATCCCTCAAAGTGCCACCATTCCATCACCACCACACCCATCTCAGCCCAGCTATCAACCGGACAGGAAGCCCCCCCTCCCATCGTCCTGTGTCCGTCGAGCTGATAGGCACCTCGGCCATACTCACCACACACACACGCGACTCCTTCGTTGCTACCTTGCCATCTCCCGCCTTTGCCAGACCGGGGTAGCTCCTGGGCCCAAGGGCGCCTTACCCAATCCTGAACCGTCCCGTCTCAATCGGTCGTTGGCGCCGTCTTCCTTGCCTTCCTTAGCCCTGCCCATCTTTCTCGTCCACCGTCTCAGAGAGAGAGTCACGGCCTGCGCGCTCACGCCTTTGCATGCTGTTTGCCATCCTCCCGGCATGCCCTTTGTCTTCTTCTTTCTTATTCCCGCCCAAGGTATCTGTATTCTCGAATCTGTACTCTGTATGTCTGCAGAAACTCGACGCTGTGTACCTGGCTCGTGTGATGCTCCAATCCCATCTTCCATCGTCCCATCTCCCTGTCTCACACCCTAGCAGTAAACACGTCGTTTGCTGTCTATCTATCTCTCCCTCCACTCAATCTTCCCCAATCCCATCTCTCCTCTCGACTCCAAACCTCGCACCCCCCCTGGTTACTTCTTCCCACACACCACGCCTCACCCTGGCACGTCCACCGTCCTCGTCGGGACCGCGACCTTTTTCTCCAAAGAAGCTCCACCCACGATCATCGCCCGGTGCAACTGCAACCTGCAGCCCGATAAACCCTTCCATAAAGAAGCTGCACGCCTTCCCCCGGACCCTTTTTCGTGTCTCTGCTTGCTGCTTTCTCTTCTCCAGTCAACCACAAGGCCCGATTCGCCCTCCCTCGTGACTGCGCTACTCACTCGGCCCTCTCCCCGTCGTCTGGCACGATTGAGTTTACAACCTCAGACACTTGAGAGAGAGCAAAACGAGAACCAAGCGGCGGCCACACACACACACTCACTGCTCAATCCGCAGCCGCCAAGCCGCACGGCGACACATCGTCAGTCCTTAAACTTCCCCAATCGCACCGTCGTCGCTTCGCATCACCGCCAAGATGTCTTCCGTCGACGACAAGCCTGCCCCCGAGCCCACGTCCGTGGCCGACCCCGAACCCACTGCGGCGCAGACGACCACCTTCGACGGCCCCGTCCCCCGCCCCGCCGGATGGATGTACCGCGGGTTCCGCGTCCGAGGCAAGGAGCTCTGGTATGCGTCGCCCCGCATCCAGCTCTTCATGGTCTCCTTCGTCTGCTTCCTGTGCCCGGGCATGTTCAACGCCTTGGGTGGTCTCGGTGGTGGTGGTCAGGTCTCGACCAAGGCCTCCAACGACGCCAACACGGCCCTGTACTCCACCTTCGCCGTCGCCGCCTTCTTCGCCGGTACCTTTGCCAACCGTCTCGGTCTCCGTCTGACTCTCAGTCTGGGCGGTCTCGGCTACTGCATCTACGCCGCCTCATTCCTGTCCTACTCTCACAACCAGAATGAGGGTTTCGTCATCTTTGCTGGCGCCTTCCTCGGCATTTGCGCCGGTCTCCTGTGGACCGGCCAGGGTGCCATCATGATGTCCTACCCGCCCGAGAAGGAGAAGGGACGCTACATTTCGTGGTTCTGGATGATCTTCAACCTCGGTGCCGTCATCGGCGCCCTCATCCCCCTCGGCCAGAACATCAACAAGACCTCGAGGAGCACCGTCACCGACGGCACCTACGCCGCCTTCATCGTCCTCATGTTCCTCGGCGCCGTGCTCGCCCTCTTCATGTGTGACGTCCCCAAGATCATCCGCGAGGACGGCTCCAAGGTCATCGTCATGAAGAACCCTTCGTGGCAGTCCGAGTTCAAGGGCTTGTGGGAGACCCTGGCCCAGGACCCTTGGATCGTCCTCCTCTTCCCCATGTTCTTCACCTCCAATGTCTTCTACACCTACCAGACCAACGACATGAACGCCCCGCACTTCAACACTCGCACCCGTTCCCTCAACAACCTCCTGTACTGGTCCTCCCAGATCTTGGGTGCCCTGATCATGGGCTACGCCCTCGACTTCCCCAAGGTGCGCCGCAGCGTGCGCGCCAAGGCCTCCTACATTGTCCTCTTCGTCTTGACCATGGTCATCTGGGGCGGAGGCTACGCCTGGCAGAAGAAGCAGGCCCCGCGCAGCGAGATCGACGGGAACCTCGACTACCCCACCATCGACTGGACTGACGGCGGCGAGCTGTACATTGGACCCATGTTTCTGTACATGTTCTACGGCTTCTTCGACGCCGTTTGGCAGACGAGCATCTACTGGTACATGGGTGCTCTCTCTAACTCCTCCCGCAAGGCCGCCAACCTGGCAGGTTTCTACAAGGGTATGCTGCGCCGTCTCCTGCGACTTGGAGTTCTTGACTAACAATTTGCAGGTATCCAATCCGCTGGTGCTGCCGTCTTCTGGCGTCTTGATGGTCTCGGTACCGAATACAACACCATTTTCGGCGCCTCGTGGGGCTGCCTTGCCGGTGCGCTCGTCATCGGCGCTCCCATCATCTTCCTTAAGATTAAGGACACTGTCGACCTCGAGGAGGATCTCAAGTTCTCGGACGAGACCGTTGCCGACGTTGTTGCGCCGGGCACTCTCGATACCAAGCTCGACAAGGAGGTTGCGTAAGCGTTTGGTGCGAAAGATGACGGGCAGTTGTGCATGACATCCAGAGGAGATGACGAGGATTCACGTTGACGAGGGATGACGTTATACCACATCGTGCTATGGGCACGGCAAAGTTGTAATTGTTGGGTTAGGTACTTTTTTCTAAGTAATACCCGGCTTTATCAAGCTGGGCTGTTGTACACACTGAAATCGCTCTTGAAGCTCATGTCTCATCTATTCAAGTGATCTATCATGGTCCATCTATCGCGGTCAATCACGGTCTTTCAGACATATCCTCTATGTCTATCCTCAACCTCGTCACCACCGTACCCACCGCCGCCAGGTGTGTTAACCTGCACATACTCACCCTCCTTGAGGTTGATGATCGCCTTGCCGCCCAAGTTGATCCTCTCCATCCCGCCCTCCTCATTGAACAGGAAGGCGTAGTTCTCGCCCTTCTTTCCGGGGCTGCCGCCCGCCATGCCCCACGGCCGATACACCCTGCGGTCCGAGAGGATGCTAAACTTGAGGGGGATGCGCGCCTCGATCTCGCGCGTGATGCCGTCGCCGCCGCGCCACGTGCCGAGGCCGCCGCTGTCCCGGCGGATCTCATACCTGCGAACGAGCACCGCAGTGCGCTTTTCAATGACCTCGGCGTCGGTTTGGCGCGTGTTTGTTGAGTGGACCTGTCGGATCGTCAGCCGAGTCTCTATCACGGTGGGTTTCGTTAGGGGGAAAGAAAACTTACATGGGTAGAGTGCTCCCCGTGGTACCCCTCCCCGGCACCAACGCCGCCGCCGATGCTCTCCCCGTAGTTCCACCCCTTCACCACGACCCCCGTCTGCGGGTCCTTGCCGCCCATGCCCCAGCCGAAGCTATTGGCGCAGCCCTGGCTGGCGCCGTAGCGCCCGAACGCGCGGAGGATCACGTCAATGACCCGCTGGCTCGCGAGCGTGCTTCCGCAGATGGCAGCCCGCGGCCCCGGGTTCAGGATGGAGCCCTCGGGCACGCGGATCTCGACGGGGCTCAGGCAGCCCTCGTTGAGCGGGATGTCGATGTTGACGAGGCACCGGATCGTGTAGATGATGGCCGAGTGGCAGATGGAGATGGGGCAGTTGTAGTTGCCCCACATCTGCGGGCCGGACCCGGAGAAGTCGTACACGGCGGACCCCGTGGCCGGGTCGGCAGTGATCTTGACGCGCATTGGCGTGCCGTCGTCGAGGTGGTCCGTCGCCTCAATGCCCTCGGGGTGCGCCGTGGCGATGCTCTTAAAGAACCCGCGCACCGCCACCTCGGCGTTAGACTGGATAGCGCCCATGTACCGGTGCACCACGCCCAGCCCAGCCTCGGCGCAGAGCTTGCGCAGCAGCACGATGCCACGCTGGTTGGCCGATGTCTGGGCCTTGAGGTCCGAGATGTTATCGGCGAGGCGGCGGGATGTGCTGCACCCGGGGAAAGAGCCGGCCTTTTCGAAGGCGGCGAGGACGGCGTCCTCGAGGAACGTGCCGGCGGAGACGATCTTGAGCGACGGCACGTTGAGGCCTTCCTCCCAGAGCTCGCGGGACTCGGGCATCATGGAGGTGATGCCCTTGCCGCCGATATCCGTGTGATGACCGCGGGAGGCGACGTAGAAGGCGATTTCCTGGCGCTTGGGGCCGCCTTCAGCGGGCGAGGCGTCGGAGTCGACGAAGACGGGGGTGACGACCGTCAGGTCTGGGAGGTGGGTGCCACCCCACTGCGGGTGGTTGGTGAGGAGGACGTCGCCGGGCTGGAGTTTCCCCTCCCAGAGACGGTGCTGCGCCTGGATGGCGAACTGCATGGATCCCAGGTGAATCGGGATGTGAGGCGCGTTGGCGACGAGCGTCCCGGAGGGGGAGAAGATGGCGCAAGAGAAGTCGAGGCGTTCTTTGATGGAAGTCGAGATGGAGGTGCGTTGGAGGGTTGTGCCCATTTGTTCGGCGATGGCCATGAAGCGGTGGGCGAAGACAGAGAGCTGGATGGGGTCGACTGGTTCGGAAGACGTTGAGGAGGGGTCGGGCGTGAGAGTGGTGAGGGCGTTGGAAGGGGGTGAGAGGGAGAGCTTTTCGAGGAGGACGTGAGAGGAGAGGATGTAGGCGCGGAACGTCGGCGAGACGAAGATGGTTTGCGTCTTGTCGATAAGCAGCGCCGGCCCAGGGATGACGACGCCCTTGGGGACGTTGTCCAGGCGGTACACGCTGGTGTCGTGCCACGCACCATCGATGTAGACAGTCTGCTTCTCACTCGGTCCGGGGGCTGAAACCTGGGTATTCGCCGCCAGCTCCTTCAACGCCGACGCCTCCTGGATCCTCGCGCCCGCACTCCCCGTCCCGCGGACCTTGATCGACTCGATGATGATGTCCCTGTTCATCGAGAACGCAAACTCGCGGAGATGCGTCGCTTCGAACTTGGCCGCATAGTCCCCATCATCGGGCCGGGAAACGGTAAGGTTCGTGTCGGTGCCAAAGTACCGCAGCACCAAGCTCTCGTCAAAGACGACTGACTCCTCCCCCGCGCCCTGCGACCGCAGCTCCTCGCCGACCCTCGCCTTCAGCGCCGCCAGCCTGTCAGCGACGTGCGCCGTCGCGCCTGCGTCGAGCTTCCTCCCGTACGGCTCGAGCGCCTCGTGCTGCAGCTCCGCCTGCGCGATGCCGTAAGCCGATAGCAGCGAGGAGAACTTGTGGATCAGGATGCGGCGGATGCCGAGCTTGTCGGCGATCTCGCACGCGTGCTGGCCGCCGGCGCCGCCAAAGGAGACGAGGTGGTGGTTCTCGGGCGCGAAGCCGCGGGCCTCGGTGGCATTGCGGATGGGGCGCGACATTGTCTCGTTCGCGACGTCGAGGAACCCCAGGGCCACGTCGTGCGGCGTCAGGGACTGGGCCGTCTGGGCGTTGAAGTCCGCCGTTAGGTCAGCGAACTTTTTCTCCACGACGGCGGTGTCCAGGGGCGCGTCGGCGTTCGGGCCGAAGATGGACGGGAAAGACGACGGGACGAGGCGGCCGAGGAAGAGGTTCGCGTCCGTCACCGTCAGGGGCCCGCCCTTGCGGTAGCAGGCCGGGCCCGGGTGCGCGCCGGCGCTCTCAGGACCGACGGCGAGAAGGCCATTGCGTGCGAAGAGGATGGAGCCGCCGCCGGCTGCCACCGTCGCGATGTTGAGCATCGGCACGGTGATTGTACGCCCTGCGATGGACGTCTCCGTGAGGTAGTCGTACTTCCCGTCGTAGCGGGAGACGTCGGTGCTGGTGCCGCCCATGTCGAAGCCGATGACGGGGGTGCCGTCTTCGGGGTCATAGCAGGACCTGGCGATGCCCACGACGCCGCCGGCTGGGCCGCTGAGGAGCGCTTCGTTGCCGCGGAACTTGGAAGCCGCCTTGAGGCCGCCATCGGAGCACATAAAGTCCACGCGCTGGGGCGGGACGCGGAACCCGGAGTGGAACGAGTCGACGTAGCGCTGGATGACGGGGTAGAGGTAGGCTTCAGAGCAGGTCGAGGTGCTGCGGTTGAGGAACTTGATGGTCGGGGAGGTGGCGGCGGAAGTGGTGACGAAGGAGAAGCCGAACTCGGGGGAGCGGGCGATGGAGGCGACGAGGTCCTCGTGTGCGGGGTGGAGGTAGGCGTGCATGAAGCAGATGGCGAGGGAGGTGTAGCCCTGGTCCCGGAGGGCGCGGAGTTGGGTCCGGACGGTTTCCGGGTCCGGACGGCGGAGGATACGGATGAGTTCGCCGCTTGCTGTGCGGACGAGGTCTCGTGTGCCCGAGACGGAGGCGTCTGATGAGGAGGAAAGCGCGGCGTCCTTGTCGAGGGGCGTCGGGTTCAGGTCGTAGTCTGCCGGAACGATGCGCTCGTCGACCTCCACGACCGCTGAGTGCAGAGCCGTGGCCTTGCGGATGCTCAGGTCGAAGAGCTTAGGACGCGACTGGTCGCCGATGACGCAGACGTCTTTGAAGCCCTTCGTCGTGAGGAACGCGAAGCGCTCGCCCTTGTGCTCCAGGAGGGCGTTTGTGGCGACTGTGGTGCCGATGCGGCATGATGCTGAGTAGACGTTAGTGAGGGAATTCAGGCCTTGCACACTGGACGTTTATTTGTGACTGAGTTAGGGTCACTCATGAGTACAAAGACATACCAATGCGTGAGCCATCAAGCTTCTCGCCCACAGGGATGGGGTTTCCCTCAACAGCCTCGAGAACGCGGCGGATGGCCTCGGTCGGAGCGTCGGGGTAGTTGGCGGGTCTTCTGACAGGAGCTTGAAGATGAGGGGCTCGCGACCGTCGACGTGGGCGATGACATCGCAAAACGTGCCACCGCGGTCGATCGAGACCCTGATGTCGGCAGCCATGGCGGTGCCGTGCGCAACCCCCAAAGGTCTAGAACGGGTAAAGGTTGTGCGAGTTGCGGTGTTTCAGCGCATGAGTCAACAGTTCAGGGCTTCTCGGCGAGACACGAGATAATGCGACTGAATTCAGAGACGAGTTTCTTCTATGGGTTATGAATGAGTCTCCTGCGCGTCAAAGTGAAGGTATCATGCGCATTAATAACACGATTCCATTGACGTTTAACAACACCCGTAGTCCTCTACGGTAACCGTTGCCGAAGGGTTTGGGGGCTGTCGATCGCCCCGCCAGCGTCCCAAAATCCCGTCTGTCGGGCTCTTCGGGCGGTGCGATGGCGTGCGACCGGGCTCCTCCCGCTTCAGTGGGGGCTACTGTCGGGGCGATTCCGACACGGACATCCTGGAGGCCTTATCGCCGCCGCCTCGGTCCTAGCAATCGGCATTTGGCCGAAAGATATCCTGGTTCTTGCGCCATTGAAGCTGCATAAGACATACTCGTCCAGTTGTCCACGGATGTGTTTTCCCGAGCCTCATACCTCGAGAAGTCGTGCTCCACGCTGGGTTCGCGGGCCGGGCTGGGGTTGTGTGACGCCGGCCGCCGGCCGGAGCTCGACGGTTGTGGTAACGATGAACTGTGGGGTTCTTGTCGAACGTGCTGACTGCGCGGCGAGTACTCGTACTACCTTGAGTTCGGACGACACTTGACGACATCCAGATTATCCAAGGCACATCCTAATGAGAAGCCTATTGCATTCTATGCCTTATAACTGGCCACAGGGCGCAAGCCGAATTCTTCACTGGCAATTTCCACCTCGGTTCCAAGTTGAAATCAGCTACGCACCATCCATTCATTGTTGGTGCATTGTTCTTCTCAACTTCCATCTTATTGAATACCTAATTGCACTTCATGACCCCACTACTACCTTGACGGAAGTCGTCGAGCATCGTGTTTGTTGCATGACGGTCACCTTAATCGTCGATTCTGCTCAGGCGGAGTGCAAAGAGTGCCGACTTGGAGTTGGTGGGATATTGCTACGTGTGTCACTGCATGCTTCCAGAGTTCGAGACACTCGATTAGGAACAACATTTCTCCGTGCTACATGTTTGGCCGTTGGTTCTTGGCGGCCCTAAGCGCTTGAGGTTATTCCTTATCTACCTACCTGATACATCCACCCATGTGCTGCCTCAGCCGCAAGCCTGAGCCTTGCTGAACGTGTGACTCTTTTACCTGAGCTGTTTTCGCGGTCAGCCTCACATTCCTCATCTAGTCTGTACCATCTCCCGACTCTCTCACCCTGAGTTCCCCAAACTTTGTCAAAATAACACCATGCAATGAATTCGAAACGGCCCTATCAGAAAGAACAACTGGATGCGGTTCATCTAAAGCGAAAAAGAGCTGTCAAAGTCCCCCACGATGGCGGCCATCATACAGAACACGATGCATGTTCCTCCCTAGATTACACAATTGCCTGGATCTGCGCACTCCCCTTGGAATTGACAGCATCTCGCGCCATGCTGGACGAGGAGCGCCCACTGCTTCCAATTCAAGCTAGCGACAATAACACGTATGTGCTAGGACGCATTGGCCAGCACAACATCGTCATGGCATGCTTGCCCGAGTATGGAACCATCAATGCCGCAGTCGTCGCGACGAACTTGAAGCGAAGCTTTCCGGAGATTCGCGCTACTTTGATGGTTGGCATCGGCGGCGGACCTCCTAGCCAGGCCGACTTGTACCTAGGGGACGTAGTCGTTGGCACAAGGGTAATGCAGTATGACATGGGCAAGGTTATCGTAGGCGGCTACTTCCAAGAAACAGCCGTCGCGAAGACACCTGCTCCCCTGCTAAACTCAGCTGTGTCCACTCTACGGTCGAGACTCGATCCCAGCAGCCCAAGTCGAATAACAAGCCTCTTGCGAAGCAGACTTCCGAACCTCTGGAACCTCTGGCGCCTAAATCACCCTGACCGCCTTTTTCAAGCGGACTATGAACACTGCCTCGATGCGCAAACATGTGATGGCTGCGATCCGGAGAAGCTGCAGCTACGAAAAGCACGCTTTACTGACGAACCCAAGATCCACTATGGAGTCATCGCTTCGGGCAATAGGGTCATGAAGAATGGGTAATCGCGGGATGATATTGCTAAGCGTCTTTTGGCGTTATGCTTTGAGATGGAGGCAGCCGGCATGATGGACAACCTCTAATGCTTGCCGATTCGCGGCATCTGCAACTACTCAGATTCCCATAAGAGCAACAAATAGCAAGATTATGCTGCTGCAACTGCAGCCGCATACGCGAGAGAACTGTTAGAAGTGCTCCCACACTTGCTCAGAGAGTCTGGCCAAGCTCCTACATCCTTCAGCAAGGCGAACAAGCCTAATGCCGCTAGTAACGCAGCCCCTTCACCTGTCCCTTCCTATTGCCTTGTAGTACCAGGCTGACTGGCTTACATACAGACGATCATGACTTGGAACGGCGGCAAAGATTATTAGGCTCTCTTAGCTTCCTATAAATAGATTCTTATAAAACCACTATTGGGGCTGTATATGCCAGAACTTGTCATTAGTTCTTGTAACACTTAGCATACTGGGATTAGCTTGATCCCTGGATGCAATCACAAAACCATAGCTTCTTATAGATATAAGGCAAGGCGGGTGCTGGAAAGTCGACTATAATGAAGTTTGTTTTCTTAGAAACAAAAAAGAGGCGCAACTCACCTAATATGGCCACCGCGTCTTTTTTTTTCTTCAACGTACGCGGTTACTTTTTAGAGAAGTCTATTACTGGGATGTACTAGTCCCTACTATTACAGCTACTTAAAACGTTTCTAAGTCTTTAGTTGGTCCTTGATGACATAGACGTTGTTCTAGAGAGCTAGCAAGACTGCCCTGACTTGAATGTCTTGAAGGCACTTCTCTGAAATGCTGTAATGACCCTTGGCCGGCGCGACTTCACATGCTTCATCAATGCCCTTGATAAGTGTGATGAACAAGAAGTCGGGATATGGTCTATTTCTTCGAGGATTTGATAGAGAACATAACTAATAGTGGTATTTAATTTTAAATCTGTTTTTTGAGTTAGCTATACCTTTACGTTAATACTTGTCAAGGAATTATGCTTACCCTTGAGATTAAATCAGGACACATAGACGACTTGGCATAGTACATAAAGAGGCATCTTGATATTGCAAACCCTTTGCTTTATACAAAGTTATAAGCCAAAATTCTGGGGAAGGCAGATGGAATTTTTATATAGATTGTCCTTGTAGTTGAGATTTTGAACAAAGAGAGCAGTTATAGCGCTCTTGCCCTTAGAAGGAAGATCTCAGAAATCCCGGCAAAGTTGAGCGATCTCTTTAAGAGTATCTTGATACGTGATCAAGATAGACGGGAATCGCTGTTGCTCTACGTTCTCTGGGTGCTTTACGCAAAGCGACCCTTAAGTCCAGCTGAGTTCCGATATGCTTTGTGGGCGGGCTTGTTAGATCAAGATCTCGTTAATCCCGACTTACCGGATAACACAGACATAGATGCTATTAGACTGGTCACGAGTTCTTCAAAAGGCCTTGCCGAGATTACTAAATCCAAGGAGCCTAAAGTGCAGTTTATTCACCAGGCAGTACCAGACTTTTTGGTGAAGGAAAAGGGCCTTCAGGACATATGGCCTGAATTTGGATTCGACTGGGAGGGCCCCAGCCACGAGATGCTTAAACGCTGCTGTGCTACGTATCTGTCTCTTCCAGGAGTCCAAAAGCTTGTCAACGGGACCAAGAGCGGAGAGGAACAGGAGGCTGTAACTGAAAAATATTTGTTTTTAGAGTATGCCAGCCAGCAAGTCTTCCACCACGCCAATGCCGCTGCGCTTGTGGTTCCCCAGGACGGGTTCTTGTCTCGTTTTTTTGCCTCGGGTTGGATCACATCAATCAACTGCGAGGGACGCAAAATGCGGAGATACAGCACTCCGACAACCCCTCTCTATGTCCTAGCAGACAAAGGTCTTGGAAACCTCATTCGCACGCGGATGAAAACCGAGAGCGTTATCTACACTCCTGGAGGTCATTACAAGTATATAGTTTTGGCTGCCTTGGCGAACGGCCACAAAGGTGCGGTAGCGGTACTTTTGGGTTTATCCTCAACTATTTGCGATGGTGTCGACATCATGGAAGGATTGAACTACAGGGAGGATTTTCTGGATTGCAACGGCAGAACGCCTTTGTCTTGGGCTGCTCAAGAGGGTAGACTGGGGATTGTGAAGGCGCTAGTGCAAGGAGGGGCGGACGTTGAAGAAACGGATGAATCAGGTCATGCACCTCTTCTAAGGGCCTCAAGGCACGAACATGAGGCCGTGTTGCAGCTCCTTATTGACAAAAGAGCAAACATACACACTCAAGACAAGTATGGATGGACGGCACTGATCTGGGCCTCACGGTACGGACATGAGGCTGCAGTACAGCTTCTAATTGATAAGGGGGCAGACATACACAAACAAGACAAGAATGGGTTAACATCACTAGTCTGGGCCTCGCGGCACGGACACAAGGCTGTAGTGCAGCTTCTTATTAATAAGGGGGCAGATATGCACACTCAGGATAGGAGTGGAACAGCACTAATCTGGGCCTTACGGCAAGGACATGAGGCTGTACTGCAGCTCCTTATTGATAAGGGTGCAAACATACACGCTCAGGACAATGAAGGATTGACGGCACTGCACTGGGCATCGCAGAATGGATATAAGGCTGTAGTGCAGCTCCTTGTTGATAAAGGCGTAAACGTACACACTCAGGACAATGATGGATTGACAGCACTAATCTGGGCCTCACGACATGGGCGCGAGGCTGTAGTGCAGCTCCTTATCAACAAGGAAGCAAACATACACACTAAGGACAATGATGGATTGACAGCACTAATCTGAGCGAGTATTGAATCAATGTCTCCATTTACAAACGCTTGTAATAGTTCGTTTTGGGTCTTGGTTAGGTGCGCACGTCTGAAGACCCTTGGTCTTCCCACTCCAAACTGAGACACTGAGCACGTCGTCTTTCAGCTAAAGAAAAACCCCCAAATTCAACACCCCTGTCTGCATCTGCCTCGCCCTACCCCGCATTTCCTTAGTTACATAATACTACTCGTTCCAACTGCTGTCGAAGTTTTGGAGCTTTCTTCAATTGGCTCAATCTGGTGCCTCACGTTCAGACAAGATCAATAAGATGACTTCCAATCGATCGCCGTCTCTACATAACAAAGTCGCTATCGTGACGGGCGGTTCTCGTGGTATTGGAGCTGCTATTGCCATTGAGCTCGCCAAGAGAGGCGCAAATGTCTGTTGAAGCCGAGGCTTAGCTTAGTCACCTTCCCCTTCCAAGCAAGGTTTCTAATATGGAATATAGGTCGTCCTTACGTATGTCTCTGACCAGAGCGAAGCTTTGGCGAATGAAGTGGTCGAACGCATTAACTCCCAGGATAACACGACGCGCGCCATCGCGGTCCAGGCGGACGTCGCCTCAACAGAGTCCCCCAAGCAAGTCATCGAAGCCACAGTTGCGGCATTTGGAGAGCACATCGATATCCTCGTCAACAACGCCGGGGTGACTTCCAAGCTTGCTGTTTCACAAGTCACTCCTGAAGGCTTTCAAGAAAGCATGAACATTAATCTTCGTGGACCTTTCTTCATGGCGCAGGCCGTCATTCCACATCTTCGCCGCCCGGGACGCATCATCAACATTACCTCCGTCGCAGCGCGTGGAGGCTACGCATCTGCTAGTCTTTACCTTTCTTCGAAGGCTGGATTGGAGGGCCTGACGCGCGCTTTGGCTGCAGAGCTGGGGCCGGCAGGTCACACCGTCAATGCCGTCGAGCCTGGTGTTACCGAGACGGATATGGCTCGGGACTCTGGATCATCAGACGCTCATGGTCAATACGTCAAGATGATTGTGTCAATGACCCCGTTTGAGAACAGAATGGGAAAGCCGGAAGACGTTGCTTTGGTTGTTGCCATGCTCGCTGAGCCGCAGGCAAACTGGGTGACTGGGCAGACAATTTCAGCCTCTGGAGGCTTTTCTATGCTCTGAGCCGATACGCAGCTACTCACTCATGACATCCCTAAGGCTACACAGCCGAGATGGTCTGTTACCAGCAGTGATATCCCAGCTTGTTTTTGAGGCGAAGCTATGTTAAAGAAGGAGAATAGTTAGATTCTACTGGAGATATCCATTGTAGTTTTAATAGAAACCATGCTACATGAGATTGCCCTCCTAGCCAGACATCATGAGTTCTTGTATGCGCCTAAGTACCTCATCCTCGCTCGGATAATCGGGTCCCTTGATGGACTCAAACGCGGGAAGCAGCACAGACTCGTCGATTTCCTTATACCTTCCAAGCTGAACATGAATCACATGTCCATTGCGCGAGTTGTCGGCCATCAACAAGGCCGCGCCTCGTGCCACAGCATTTGCAGGTTGTATTTCAACCCCGACTTTTTCCATCAAGCCTTTTAGGTCTGGAAGCACGTTGCTTTCCGCCCAAGTTGGCGCCAGAATGTTGACCCTGATGGGTATCTTGGCTGACTCGAGGAGTGGAATGAGACCACGACCGTACCCAAGAACGGCATGTTTGGCGGTAGCTGGACAAATTGGTCAATTAATGGCTTCTTGATTGAGAGGCGAATGACTTACAGTAGTCCACAGCACGCAACCGCTGTAAACCTGTCGAGGAGCCATTGATGACGATGCTGCCCCCTTCAACTTGCTGTCGCATATGGTATATCGCCAGCGTAGCAGTATGCATAACTCCCTTCAAGCTGACGTCCAAGACAGCATGTGTAGGCTCGATTAAATCTCCGTTCTCGTCAACCTCTGTCGATAAATAGTTGGCGCGAGGGCCAACACCGGCATTAGCAAAGACATGGTCGATACGACCATAAATCTTTTTCGTCTTCTTGAAAAGAGCAACCTGATCAGCCCAAGCGGCTACATCGGTCTTTACAAACGTGTAAGAGCTCTCTGGTTGCTTAGTCGGCGGGTTAATATCCGCGTTGATAACAGAAGCTCCTTGCGAGAGAAGCGTAGTAACTGTGGCAAGACCAATTCCTGCCGATCCTCCTGTGACGATAACCACTTTGCCCTTGAGTTTGGACAGGTCCTTGTCTTCGATCACGAATTCGGCCATAGTGAAGAATATTTCGATGCGATGGAGATTTCAGAAAATGAAATTGGTGTCTCGGAGATGTCAAGTCGTCTATTTGATATTCTCAAAACCCTAGTTTGGAAGAGGGGTAACTTAGCATTTGGGCAGGTGACATTGAAACACAATCTTAGGTGACGTGTCAGTTGACGAATGACACTCAAGGTGGCTGATGATCTTTTGGCGGAGTAGCAGGGTCCAAATTGAAGCTAAGGGATTCGGGAGTGCAACTCTCCTCGCCAGAGTTCATGTTCCGCCTTAGCCCACAAAATGAGTGCGTAGGAAACAGAGCTGATTGCTTGACAAGCCCCTTGTTCCTTGAGGGATTTTTAGCCATTGAAATCCTACTGACAGGGGTGTATGGCAGAAGGATAAATCAGCAGCAAACGATCAAAATCGCCTCGGTGTACACAAGTTAAACCATGCCGTTGATATGCCCATGAGCCTTCGCTTTCTCATGTATTTGTGGCGACAATTCAAGTTGCACTGCAACAACCTCATTTCCCATCTAGCATTGAAGATATTGCATCATCTTATTGTGCCAACGTGACATCGCAACGATGTCCAATCGGAGCTACAATAAAGTAGTTTTCCATTTCCATCATTGAGTCTGTCATGCTGCTAGACAGCTTGAGACCAGGACAGTGGCGGAACAGCGCTGCGGCGGCCATTCGCATCTCCATACGGGCGAGATGCACACCAAGACAAATCCTAGTACCGGCTCCAAATGGGCAAAAGGTACTCTTCTGCTGAGGTGTAGTTTTTTCTGGGTCTAACCATCGTTGTTCGTCAAACCTGTCTTTTCGTTAGCTAACTTCCACAATTGCACACATTTAACAACTACTTACTGCAACGGGCTCGAATAGACGTCCGGAATTCGATGAAGAGTGTAAGCCTGAGTTTCAACCTCCAGGCCCCCAGGGATATGGTACCCACCAAACGTGGCGCCCTTGGGTGGAACGACACGTGGAAGGTTGCTTGGGACACCGCCATAAAGACGCAATGTCTCCTCAATAACAGCGTTGAGAAGTGGAAGTTTCTCCAAAAATACATCGTCCAAAATGCTGCCTTCATCGATTGCCGCAACCTCGGCTTCCACTTGAGCTTGAAGATTGGGCTTTTTGAGAACGGCCCACACGAGGTACGTAAGAGTGGACGCTGTAGTGTCAGCGCCTGCAAGGATGAAATTTCCCGCTTCTGTTTTGATGTCCTGGTCCGTCAGGTACCCCTTCTCGTCAGCATCGCACTCAGCTAGGGCGGTGGCGAAAATATTGCCCTTGTTGTCTCGGTGTCTACGCAGGTTCTCGACAGCGCGGCCACCATACGAAAGAATGGATTCTCCCGCGTTGAGCAACCATTGCACGGAACCAATTGGTATATAGCGAGATACCGCGTATAGCAATGGAAACTCATAGCTGATGAAACTACCCAGACTTGCCAGCTGAAGCGTTGCGACAAAGTCGTTCTTCTAAGAGCATTGTGAGTTCGAAATTGAACATATTAAGGCAAAGAGAATCCACCGTGGCGGTACTCGAAAGGACCAGGCAACAGTTAACGTACCTTTCCAGCTTCCAAGAGCTCAAAAGATTCCCCAAATGACAATTGACCAATCACATCTGAAGCCATCAAAAGCCACCAGTGAAGAATATCAGAAGACGCATGAGTAGCCTCTGCTTTTATCCGGCCTACAGCTTTCATAACTTTCTCTTGGACGACTGACTCGCAATGCAGACGGAGACTGGTTTTGGTAAAGCTGCGAGCAAATAACTTGCGTCGGGCAGCATGTCTTTTTGGGTCCGTCATGGCGAAGAGACCAATACCAAAGCCCGATGTACCATTGAAATCTTCGTAGAATGGTGATTTGTAAAATCCAGAACCCACGCGATGAATAGCGATGAAAGCATCAGGGTCGGCAACTGCCACTTGGTAAGGGGATATTCGGACAATGGGTCCATAACGTTCGTGAAGCGAATGAACATAATACATCCGCTGACCGTTGATGGTTTTCAATTTTAACACATAGTGCGTGACAAGTGTGTACCAGGGTCCAGGAATATGTTTCAATGGGTTTCGCAGTCCCAAGAATAACAACTGATTCACCATTAGTACTTAAGCTTCCTCGGACAAATGATCTACCACTTACTCGGATAGATGTCAAGATACACAAAGTGAGCATCACCCAGAGCACCATATCCGTCTTTACAAACACCATGGTTCACCAATGCGAAACAGCCAAATGTGTTAAGGTAGTTTTAGTGCTATGGGTGTAAATATATGCATTGAGAGAAAGAAGGTCGGTGCGGGGGTCCGTTGGTAGTTTTGGAATGGATCGGAAACTTTTGTAGCCACGTGATGGCCAGTTGACAGGTTGCGATGCAGTTCTTGGCTTGCATGAATACATATAGAAGCGAACCACTAATCTACCTGGCATATAAATTAGCGCCAAAAGGCACCCTTACACCTTTCATATTTCCATTTCATCTAGCTCATGACAAGCCCAGGCACCCAATATCACTGATGTGGTAACCATGCTGACCTTGTTGTCTTGGCGGCTGCAAAGATTCTTGACGCATGGTAGTAGAGGTGGATTTCAATATGCGTCATGACGTTCAAGATGAAGTTCCGTGATAGGATGATGTCGTTGGGACTTAACTGCGGTATACGATAGGCCCGAATCTTCATTGGTACTGCTGCCTCTGTAATTCAACCCAGGAGCCAAGGGTATTTATGTTTTGATGTGTAGGCAGCCTAGTGAACAACGCTCCCTATATTGCGATTCGTAACTTCTGCGATTACACACTACTGCTGCGATAATAGATGGTAGCAACCACATGCAGCAGCCGCGACCGCAGCGTGTGATAAAGAGCTTCTGTGTGTCATCCTGCTAGCGATGATGAAGGGCCATTAACTTGTGAAGCTACGTTAAACTCCACCAATTTCCTCTATTTGAGATCTTCTTTTTGGAATCAAGGATGTTCCAGTGCCTCATGCACAGTGATTCTTCTTGCTGGATCCAAGTTCGTCATCTTAGCAATCAAATCCCTGAGCTCCACATCCACATAGTTCCACATCGCAAAAGGCTTTCTCGGTCTGTCTGCATCGAAATCGGTCGCGAGATCGATAAGACGCTGGAAATACTGATGGAAATAACTGCGCTACGGTTATGTAGGCGGTAAGTAATAGGTTAGAATCTGTGGCCATAGGTATCATGCCGGTAGCCAAGATCATGGGGACTGAGGTGAGGTCAAAAAAGCCCTTGCCCTGCTCGGTGTTGATAACCATGAGATATTTGGCACAAGCAACAGTGGCGTGCTCGGCCTTAAAATTGAAGCTGCAACTGCCCCTCTTGACGAGGACGATCGTGTCGCTCAGGTCGGGGGTATCCGCGGGATAGGGATCACAGCCGAAAGCGGCTTCAGAGTCAGAGTCGACAGCAGGAGTCCAGAGGGGAAGCGTAACACCGCCCCATTTATCAAGCTTATTGTCGGGAGCGCCCCGGAACTTGCGGGGCCGGCCACTAGCAACGGTGAATGAGTCCACAGCAACAACACCGGGGGTAATGGTGTTTCGAAAGCAGCAACGGCGGTAGAGCGCCTAGCGCAAGCTCCATGACCGGCAATCCACATGCCCTCTCTACCAGACTTACCAGCGGCCACGATGCAGAGAATGCCTGACTCGACGATCTGAAAGATGGTGTTGGGAAGAAGCTCGTCTGGCCAGCCAGAGGACATACCAATGGAGAGGTTGATGATATAACTGCCGCCTGTTACCGCGCGGAGTAAGGCGCTGATCACGAGATCGGTGGTGATACCGCCGGTACAGCCAAAGACCTATTCAAACTGCATGTGAGCGAAAGATGGCAAGACGGAAAACACGCTGCCAGATCTGACCGATCTCGCCAGGGACGACCTTGGGAGCAGCGGATCCTCGGCGGAAAACCCAACTTCTCACATCAGGTTGCCGAGTGCGCTCTGGCTTCCACAAGGCTGAGTGTGACGACAAGCCAAAAATGGCCGGCAACATGTACTGACTCAAGCCGACGCGCATGCAGAGGGTTCCATTCAACTGAGAAAGGTAAGCTACGTACCTTGCAAGCACCAAGGGTGACAACAGGCGCAGTACCAGTGAACCCTAGAGGGTTCGACTGGGCTGCAATGATGCCAGCGACATGGGTGCCATGGCTGGAGCAATTCATGGTGTCAGAGCTGGGTTTGAGTGTGTTTCCGCCGTTGAATTCGTCACCGACCAAGTCAGCCCCGTAGCTGATGAGACATCCGCGGCCGAAGCAGCCATCGAGGGCGGGGAGGAGGTAATCAATACCGGTATCAATGACAGCGACCTTAATGCCCTTACCGGTGATGCCATTGCGATGGAGCTTGTCGACCTGGGTCTGGACGAGAGATGAGGAAAATTCCTTGACCAGCTGGCGCTTCTTCAGGTCACCGTAGTCGTGGCCCGGCTGCCCGGTCCAGACTACCTGAGGTTCGGGTTTCACATGAGTATGGATGGGCCACATCCGCTTGACTGAGGGAAGCTGGGCTATCTGCGTGGTTTTCGCGTTGGCAGTGGCCAGATCCTCGAACTGGATCGACACGTACTTGAAAAATCGTAGTCAAGGGTCATGCGGGTGACGGCATCAGCCACAACCGCAGCGTAGAAATCTGAAGCATCCGGTCAGAAGGAGCCGTTAGCGAGGATTTCTGGATCTCCTGTGAGCTCCGCAGCAGTGACGAATCTGGCCATTTTCCAGCTCAAAGATGAAGGTACCGGCAACGGCATTCGGATGGGGGTCCTGACCCAGGACGGCGGATGCGGCCGCGAGGAGCGGCAGCAAGTGATTGCTTTTGAGCATTTTGTCTCTGGCTGCTGACGGTTGACCTAAAGGAGGCAGGGGCTGGGCAGGCCAAAAACATCTCGTCGTTACTGGCGTGCTGTATGCTTTAGTCAAAGTATATAATTCTTATTGAGATCACATCGCAATACAGCTCTAGCTACTGAGGATGGTGGCAGTTGCTTGCTGGGGCCTGAGCATGATGCCCCTTCTCGGTCAGGCCGTCTCTTACTCAGTGGGCGGTATGATGCCAAGACGGCGGCGAGGGTGCTCTTGTCGTCGTTACGAAATGAACTGGGCATGTTCTAGAATTAGAAGCTTGCTTTCTCGGGCAGGTGGAGGGCAAGGAAGAGAAACCAGTGTGGATGAGAGGTGTGAGGAGATACAAGCGCCTAGGGAGTAGAAGTTGCAGAGAGCGACATTTTGCCTTGCCGGCAATGCGCAGTGTGCGGTGCGGCGAGATGCCTTGAGGATGCAGAGAAGCACTTTGATGATCATCATATACACATATTGGCTGGGCCTGCGTTATGAGAGGTATCCTTGTACGCCTCTAGTTAGAAACTATTATAGGACGCTGCCAGTGTGGCTGAGAACGAACGACACGTTACGCTGCACAGGCCACTCCCAGCTATTACTAAGCGGCATTGAGAGGGCATGATCAACAATTCCGAGGCCCAACAAAGCAAGGCATCTCGTGGTCGGTTCAAGTGAAGAAGCGCATGCTGATTACGGCTCGCTAGGATTGATTGTTTTAGAAAAGTCCAAGGCCCTTCACCAGCGTCACTAACTCCGAGTTCAACCTTTCTTTTGCCTTCCTTTCCCCCAGGTAGGATTATTGACACAGTCCTCCTGGCAGCCGTTCCGGATCTGATAGGTATTAAAATGGACTGCGTTGGTGTGCCGGGCAAATTGCACGGCGCCGTCGCAAATTATGCTGGCCGATATAAAAGACGAAAATTTGAAATGCAGCGATCCATGTCCGAGCTCGAAATGTAAGGAGAATCGACAACTTTCCCGCAGCTGGTCCAGTGGTCCCATCCAGATTACTGACCCGCAAGCTCCTTCTCAGTCCAATCCCACAACTCTTGGGCAGCCTTATCGTCAAACAAGTTTGCCTCCTTATACTGCTTTTGTTTTGGATTGTAAAAGCCTCCGCTCTTCACACTCGCACTAGGAGCCGTGCTGGCCCAGAGCTGAGCTCGCGCACCCGCGTGAACGTCAGTCAGGAAAATCGACCCAAGCACACCAATCACCCCACCAACCCAGGGCCGTCTCTTTCTAAAGTCGTCAAAGAGGCCAGTGTTGACAACACCGGGATGAACGGCGACAAATTTGATGGAGGAGTACAGCTGACTGAGCGTGCGCGTGTGGTAGTAGTCTGCGAGCTTCGATTGACCGTAGCGAGCCAAGCTGGAGATGTCGTCGAGGGGTGTTTTACACTTTGAGAGCAGAATCCCTTCAGAGGGCGCTTGTTTAAAGAGTTCGGAGCTCAGGTTGACAACGCGGACATCGGATCCGGGCTGTTCGGCAGTTTTGATGAGGATCGGGAGCAGCAGCTTGGTGAAGAGGGCTGGGCCCATGTAATTTGAGCCAAATTGAACCTCGTAACCGTCCTTTGTCAGGCCTGGAGGGGTGGCCATCAGGCCTGCATTGTTCATTAAGATGTCGAGACGGTCGGATGAGGTGAGGAAAGCGTCGGTGGACTTCTTTATCGACGCGAAGGAGCCCAGGTCTAGCTCGAGATATTTGATCTTATTCTTGGCTGCCGGTACGGCTTGCTCCACCTCCTTGATGGCGGCGTTGCCACGGGCTTCTGTCCTGGCTGTGAGGTAGATAGTCGCCGGGTTATGCTTGGCCAGCTGGATAACGCTTTCTTTTCCAAGACCACTGCTGCCACCAGTTACGATGATGACCTTGCCGGCCAGATCCGGTATATCATTCTGCGGGGAAAATGTCATTGTGATGTCGCAACGTGACAGTCACAGAAAACTTGTAGAATTCCGAGCGCTGAAGAGTAGGGACAGTATGCTTATTGTCGTTCAGTAATTAATGATCGGGTCGGGTGAGGAGATTCGACGGCGTGGTCACTCAGTATGAAGGGGTATCTCAAAAGCGGTGGTGGTGGGAAAGATTTAGGGAAAACTGGGACATTCAGCTGGTGAAGCGGTTGCTCATATACTGATTTGAAAGCTCTCACAGCCACATGTAACAATAGCCGCCTGATTGGTTTCGTCTGTGCCTTATCTCGGACTCGGAGGGACTCGGAGACTTTGTTTTTGCTACATACATTGCTCTGAGCTGTGGCTAGCGATCTAATTATCAAAGAATTGGGGAGAAACCGCGCTAACTTCAAATAATGCTGACCAATCTAGCATTCGGTCCGTAAATTAACAATATCAGCCAACAGATATTATTCCAAAATCAGGAGTAAGTCCTGTGGAATTGAGACCTATCTTGATCTGGTTTATAGCCGACAGTCGGTGACCCACGGCTGCGGAAGCGGAAGTTGCATTGGCCCGACTCCATCGTTCTAACATGGATGCGTTCACTAATCACTTTCAGCCAAAGCTTACTGCTGCTGAGTCGGACGTATTAGTCGGAGTGTCCGACCTGTCCGGCGAGGTACAACACACGACAAAACTTTACATCGAATCACTCGATCCCCGACAAGCCATTGACCGAAAGAATTTGATGATAGTCTCATTTGAGACTTTTTTTGTCTGAAGAATGGCCTGTTGTTTATTGATCCAGAGAGTGACGAGTAGATTTGGTAGTTTCAGCTATTATAATTCGTAATTCTTGATTTTCCATAGTCACTGCACTAGCCGACGTTGTGTTGAGACGAAAGATCCAGAAGCGATCGAAAGGAAGGGATCGAAAAGAAGCGATCCACTGTGAGTTCCATCTCATGGGACAAAGTCCTTGAAGTATGGAGACTAAAGAACAGAAGATCACAGTCCTTTCACGTAATTTACACTAATGACTGAAATCAAGTTGCGGTATTCCTTCAGTGTACATTTATCGAAAGTACTAAGCACATGGAAAAATCTTCAAAACCAGACGATCCATAATATTCATCTATAATCATACCCCTTATCCACAACTTAATTTGTTAAGATGACGTTGAATGGCCTAAGTGTAAAGACGCGTGATCGTCTCAGGCAAGTTCAGCTCCAAATCCACAGCTGAAGCATTGCGAGACAACTGTGCCGACTTTTTTGCAATGGCTTGCACCGCGGGATTGAATTGCTGCTTGAAGAAATCCTTGGTGTCCGCGATAATCTGTTCAAGCGACGGCGCCGAAGCCCGGTTAATTGTCTTCTTGCCACCGCTAAGAGCCGACAAAGGAAACCAGCTGAATCGTTGTGCGAGCTTATCAATGTAACTGTACATCTCTGTAGACGTGTCGAATGCCTTGTTAATCCAGCCGATTTCTGCTGCATCCTCTGCGGTGATGTCGTTTGAGCTCAGGACATATTCCATGGCGCGGCCCCTGCCAATTAGGCCCGGGAGGAACTGGCTGCCGCCGCCGCCGGGAAACAAGCCGCTTCCGACTTCGGGTTGGCCGAAAAGGCTTTCGCCCTTGGTGGCGAAGCGCATATCGAGCGATACGAGTAATTCGTTGCCTGCGCCGCGGGCTCGACCTTCTACGGCGCCGATGGTGACTTGCGACAGCTGGGAGATGTTGTAAATAAGAGTTCCGAATGCTTCGCCAAAGACAGCTGGAGGTTGTCAGTGAGCATACCGGGAACCGTTTAGGGATTCAATCTTTGTTCTCAGATACACTTACGATCCGCCAGAGCAGGCAAGGTGAGGTCGAGATGGGCCATGAAAAATTTAGGCACGTCACTGTTGAAAATGACGACCTTGGTTTCATTGTCCCCCTGAAGCCGGAAGACTAGGTCGGTGAGATCGTCCTGCGTGTCTTGATTCCATAGATTGATAGGAGATGACGGGTTATGGAAGGTCACCGTAAGGATGCTGCCGTTTTGAGCCGTCTTCAAGCCGGTGTAGGCGGGAAGGGCTATTGAATGCACATGTCGTGCCAAAAAAGCAGCTAGAGTTATATTGTAGAGTATAGAAGAACGCATTTTGAGTGATGAGAGACTTGAAGAGGACTTTGAACGAGGAGATGAGCGAGCGAGCGAGCGTTGATGAAGACTTGGGACGAACCGCTCCTTGATATCAACTCTTTATGTGAATAAAAGTTCTTGCTGGTGTTATTCTCGCAGGGATACCTATTCTTATTTGCTTAGAAACCAGGGCACCCAAGGCGTCCTATGAATTTAATCAAGACATTACTGATTATTCACCAAACCCCTTTTCCCCGAGAAACGGAAAGAACCAAACCAGACTAGCTAGTCAGTTAACGGCTTACAAATGGCGTTCTCTGACATTCGCTTTCGAGCTTTTCAGAGTGCAAATCTCATGGCTAAGCTGGACAGCCTCCTTCTCCCTTGCGTCCAAAGCTCCAGTCCGAATCCTTGCACCTGAAATTGTTATGTGAGCGGAAGAGAGGCTCCCAAGGATACAATCAATTCCTCCGGCATCCGCCGCAATCTCTCCATCGTATTTGGAATGATAAACCTACGACATATTGTTGTATGAGTAAGTACCCACTTGGTGCAGACTGCGAGTGATTGTGGTCGTCAGAAGCTTGTTTAGACGTCAAGCCACGCTTAAACCCTGATGGGCCTCTTTTGCTCCCCGAAGAGACTTTGTCCGTGCTAAAATGTTCGGATTATAGAATATGCAAAATTCCTGGCCCTCTTTCTTACTCAGCATTGTAATTTCATCAGATTTTCCAGTTTGCCGAAGACTTTTCAGGATGCCATCAAGGTTGTTCGGTTTCTAGGCTTGCAGTATCTCTGGATCGATATCCTGTGTATTGTGCAAGATGATGCCGATGACTGGCGTGAGGACGCAGTTCAGATGGGCCGCATCTACAAAGATGCCGAAATAACCGTTGCAGCGTCCGGTGCCCGAGACGGTTCGGAGGGATGCTTCGTTCTACGCCCTCCGCCGCAACCAATCGTTCGTTTGCTATACGGAAAATCGAATCAAGGAGAATCCATGTGCGTCAACTTATTTCCGGACGCGATTGACACCACTGTTCGCGAAACTCCGCTTGGCAGCCGAGCCTGGCTAACTTAGGAATGGATGCTCTCTCCTCGCGTCATTTATTACACCAAAGAACGGATGATCTGGGCGTGCCGCACAATGCTCAAGTGTGAGGATAGTGAAAATGAGACTTCTGAAGATGAGCAGAGGCTACTTGAGAGCGTCAGGCGATTTCTATGAGCCAGGACGCATGGCAAAAAGGCAACTCTGAAGTAGATAAGAAGGATATGCTAGGCTTTAGTACCGACCGATGCGATCTTGTGTCCACCTACGCCGCACGCAAGTTGACACACAAATCAGACAAGCCTGTCGCCATCTTGGGTTTGGCCACCGAGGTTGACAAAGGAATTGGTGAGAGCTACACCTCCGGGATGTTCCATGATGACTCTCTACTTCACGAAGAGTTTCGTGCGCGTTGTATTCTCACCCAATTGCTTTGGTTCGCCGGTCAAGTTGATTCGCCCGCTCGCTCTTCAAGATCAACCGTATTGGTCCTGGACATCTACCATTGGCGCCATTGTTTCTCGCACCCGCCCGAACAGCGGGGGGTTGTATTCGTGATCTGAATCGAATCCAACCAAAGGGTTCAGCATCGTCTTGGAGTTTTGAGGCCCGGTTGAAGAAGTGGGAAGCGAAATGAGAAGATGGCTACCATTTCATGGAGTTCTACCCCAAAGACGCCATCGCGTACGCCGGTTGAAGTTTCCTTCCCATCTTCATCTCGACAACAGACAAGCCCCCTCTTTCATCATCCACAAAAGATCCAGCTCTGCAACAAATTCAGCTCTCGGAGTGAATTTCTTCGTTGGCAGAGGCACTACACACATAGTATAAGGCCAGAGGCACGCGTTCTACATACCATTTAGATAGCTTACCTACATACAAGACTATTCTTTCCATACTTTCATAGAATCAAGTCTTTCTTAAACCTGTTCTTATATACCCTGCTGTACACTCTAGCTTATAGTATATTTTCTCTTGTGAATGTAACGACCTTCTCTGTCATTATTGAAAGATGAGTCTATGTCCTATTACTATACCAACTTACCTATGCTTCTTTCTGCATCTGCCATAAAGATACCGGATCAACTACATCCGACGGTAAGTCTAGGAGCTCAATCGCATGGGCATGAGACTCAACGTCTGTTGAAATTCTAGGTTCTTGGATCACTTGAAGGTTATGCTGAACACCTTCCCAATCTTGCTTTATGTCAGACCCCAACTCGAACTCCCATGTTCCACGCCATCCTATGCAGGCGTAAGCAGATGTTGTTACATGGTAGAAAACCTTGAAAGCTTCTCCCTTGCGACCGTTCCATAGCACCATTTTATGTAAATGCGGCATTGAAAGTGCAGTCTTTGCGGCTGTTCTTAAGACAACTGTTATCTCGAGGTTTTGTGCTTGGGTAAGTTTCCTTGATGTAAGTATCAAGGATTTCAAATGCTTCCAAACCCAATATCGCTTGCATGACGAAAAGGAGTCTGAAGCTTCTACTAGAGATGCAACAGATAACTGCGTAAGGCTAAGGCTCCTTTTTGCAAAGGCAGCACTAACTGCAGACGATGCAGCTGGTTCAATGTTGTATGCTACCCACCGAGATCCAGAGAGTATTCCAGATAACTGTTCCAACTTCGCCATGGCTCATACACCATTGATTTGAGCCGAGGAAGTTTGTCAAAGATAGAACCCAAGACTTTAGGTTCAATTTGTCTTCGACATTGTCGACGAATAATGAAATGCGTTGCTGCCTTAACCTGAGGGACGTCCTGGAATTTTAAACTGAGGGGCGAGAAGATTCGTAAGATAGCCATAGATTCAGGTCTACCAACCTGGCGACCGTTTTTCCAACCGTGGTTGTCGGGATATTCATGAGTCCAGTCGGAAGTACATATCCGACGACCAGTTAAAGTGGATTCATACTTAACATCATCTCCAAAGCAAAGAATCTTGAAGAAATGCTCCCTATCGCTAGGAGACTGAATGCTGAGCTCCAGTGTCAGCCCAGCACGTGATTGCTTTTCTAACTACTTTGTTGTTCCCGCAAGCCCACGGATCGCTTTCAGGGTACGGACAACATCGGCATGTATATGGCTTCAGCGCGATGTTCAGCCAAATCTGTTCAACACGCTTCACTTTCTCTAGACCGATCATGGCTCCCACATCATCCAAGAATGAAACCTGCAGCTTTAGCTGGCGAAAGCTTTCCTTCTCCAGTATAGCCCGCCACTCCTTGCAAACGGAGGCGCAGGCGCCCCAGCCCAGCGTCGTTTGTCTAGCAAGGGCTTTGAGGATCATCTGACGAAGTTCTAATGGCAGAACACCCCAGCCCGGCGTGTACTTTGTCGTGGTGTTACCAGGCATGGAACTCATCGTCAGAGCTGCCTGTATTTGCACCGTCGTTGGAAATATCTAGAACCCGCCCAAGATTACGTCGTTAGGCAACCAGAACTTATGGCAAAACAAAATTTGACAAAGGGGAATTCCTACCGAGACAGATAAAAAGAATAGAAAACGACTGCATATGTTGATCTGGCTTCTTCGGTGCAGGTGTAATTGGAATAAAGATTTAATGATCTTAAATAGAGGCAGATGTACTTAAACTGGGGTTGAGTTGTTTTTCTAACAAGGGTCCTTAGATGAGGATGCAAAGCTCTCATTATATACATGAAGGAGAATTGTTACATGGGTTCGTGAGGAGGAGAAAAGGTCTGCAGTTAACCAGCAAGGGAAGTACCATCCAGTCGTTCCACCTTATTCCTAAAAAAAGCCAAACCTTACGGACTGGTATTTAAATTGAGGGCTACAGAGCTCTTGTACCATCAAATAGAGTTCTCAAATTGCGTTTGTGGCTTATATATTGTCGATAGCAGAAAAACAAGAGAAAATGAACTTTTTTTTCTTGCTTCACGGAGGACTTAGAGAGCTCTTTTACGTTTCTGGGAAGCGCAATCCATCAGGCGCACCTCTGGGACGCCCACCGCGTAAATCACGGGGCGTTTTAACATATCCCCCAGAAAGGGGAGTCTCTGTTACGCGTTCTATCTCATGTCTATCAATTTAAAGGCCTTGTCGGGTCTTTAACTAACAATACATCGGTTCCCATTACCCCTACCAAAAAGCGACTCTGTTCCTCCTCTAGTTCCTTCAATATATTAGGTGCTAAGCGTTCCTTTTACTCTGCTTTATTGGGTAGGGCTAAATTGGCTTGGAACAATTTAACCAATAATAGGTGCTTTTTGAGTCCCTCTGCTAACAGTTAATTTCAGCGAGTGTGAACGATTTCGATACGGTTGGGTGAGACGGCTTGACAGAGCCGGTTATTGTGAATCTGGACCTAGGATAACTTCATTCGTGACTATACTAGTTCTACTGTAACCATATGGGTAGCCTGGGGGTTATTGTATTGAATCGATAGCCAAGCCGCTCGCTGTGCTTCTTATGATAGGAGTTTTGTCTTTATCCTATTTCATGACCCGCCAGAAAGTCAGTCCTTCGAATAGCTTTATGAAAAAGATCAGGTAGTTAACTCTTCCAATCAATTGAATTGTCGGCAAGACTGGGTCGCATGTCACTTCCAGTCTGTTGCATAAGGAGTCAATGTCATCTCCATATTCGGAGTAAATTTCCGCCGTTGAAATTAGGTATCAAATAATACCTTCTGCTGCTTTTTACTAATCTACCTCTGGTTTTTGACTAAATCCAAATAGCCTGCTAACTGACAAGGCGAGATTTAGCCTGGTTATCACCACAATGTACATTAGAGACTCAACCTTCCTCTGGTGGTCGTTTATCTCTTCCTCCATAGGTTCTCCTTCGTGTAATAGGAGTTCCTCTGTTGCTATGGGTGTGTCTGACTTCCTTACTATCAATATCTCTGGCAGAAGCGGTGTAGACTCGAGATGTATACAGATTCTAAAGCCGGACCTTGTCGTAGATCCATTTGTGGATAGCTTCGATGCTCAGAAGCTATTAGGTTGACTTTCCTTCTTTGAAAGCATGGTATATTTGTAATACTTCCATGAAATTGAGGACCTCCTCTTGTGATCCCAGACGGAAGGCGAGGACGCAGTCATCAACTAGGTAAGGAGAAAAAGACAGTCTTCCCCTCGTTTCCAACAGCCCGTTACTCTCGCCCTGTATCCATTCAAAACCCAGGTCTTTAAGGCCCTTCTCTAGTGCATCTGACACAGTAGAAGCGATCTTAGCAATCCCTAGAGTGCCTTGTAGAATCTGAGAATACGTCTAGGAGCCTCGTGTCCTGGGGGCATGCTAATATAGCCCTTCTCTTCGATTTTAGCGGGAGAGAAGTCAATGATGGCATCATATTGAAGCACTGTGAGCCTGAACCAGTTCGCGAATGCTACAAAATTGCGGGTTGAAAGTTTTGGTTAGTGTCGCGGTGTAGGTATCGCAAGAATCATGTATGTTAGGTTTTTAGTCTCCTCGAATAACCAAACGGGTCCTAAACTTGGTAAGACGTCAACGCTTGTCAGTTTGTGCATAAATACCCATCGACAAACATCTTCCTATGTCTCATTAGCAAAAATCCTCGGGATCTCCTTCAAGGGTCTATGATCTTGTGAGACGCAAGGTTGAGAGGTTCCGCTTCTTCAATCGTTCTTATGTTTGCAGCGTGGAGCCGTAGAGGCTAATGTGAACTGGACAATGGAGCTAGACTCTTCCGGTGGCCTCCAGTATCGCAACAACCTTCGCTGGAACCTTCATTGTGGAGTGGCTTGTGGGCAGTGGATGGGCCAGACCGGACTGTTCTCCTGTCACGATTCAATCCACCGCTCAAAACGGTTCCTGCTTGGAAGTGTCCTTTGTATTCTATACCGTTAGAGATTCTCTCATACCTTCGCCTTTTTGACGGCATAGATAAGATCTGTGTCAGCATTTAGATGGTATTGGATAAGTTTCTCCAGTTTCCGGTTCTTCTGTCGGCCTTTGAAAGCTTTCTTCGGGAATACGTAAAAACTCCTAGATAACTTATGACATCCACAATAAGCTGTACATCTCAGTTTGCACGGATACTAGCCTCTGAGTCTATTTCTGTTTTGCTGTGTTCAATTCAGTTGGTTTAAGCTATTCCTCAGATGGTTAGAATATTTAGCGAATCGGGTTGTTGCTAATGGGTTGCCCGGAGTAGTTGAGAAGGCTCCTCTTCCCACCTTAAGTTAGACGAAGTCTTCTGTAGTTCGTAGATTCGAATGCGTAAGGCAAATCATTATGTCAAATGTTAGAGTGGCTGCTTCCGCTTCTTCTGCTCGGGCCTTATGAATGAATAGGCCTAGTCTTGAGGAGGACTCTTCGTAATTGCCGAGATATATTCTAGGAACCAAAGGGAAAGCCACCTGAATTTTGCTTTATATGCATCTAATCAACTACGTCCCCACTTATGACTTCGTTGAATGACGCACAGTCATCGTCTCCTGTATCATCTTTCGACAATTCTTGCACATCCGCGTGTTGCAGTCGATCTACTCTGTTATTCCCCCCGGCTCTCGAGTGTCGTAATACACTTACTGATATCCCTGTCTGCCTGACAAGTCATCTGTTCAAGGGCTGGAGAGGTAGTCTCTCGAACTGAGTCATGTACCTTGGCAATCTTCCTCACGAGGCCATCGTGGTGTCTCAATAGCAGGTTGACATATTTAAAGTCCTGGTCAGAGTAGCTTTTACATGCAGAGAAAACCGCCCGATTTCTCGCCTTGCAATAGTAGCATACCCCTTGCACTTAAGTCAGCTAGATAGTATTGTAGTCAGTTATTGAGATACAAGTATCTCGTGATCAGAAAGCTCCAGTGAAGGCGTAAAAGTGGCCCGAGAATGTAGGAGAAGGTACAAAAACTATGCTATAGTTACATGTACGTGAGACAGTTGCTGATGGATACATGGATACAAGGACCAGAGATCATGTCTTTAGCTGAAACCCTGGGCGACAAACAGCACTAAGGCAATGCATAAAGTGAGGGGCAAAGCCTAAATAGGTTTTATTGTGGGTAGAAAGGTAGTTGAAGGCTAAGTGAATTGAGATCGAGAGAAGAGCTCGAAAGCGCTCATTAACCAGCATGCATCAATGAGACATTCTGCTGCGTCTTGCTCTTGGCACACTCTCTCCAAAATCGTACCGTAAACTTCGTTTGTTGTCTTGAATTCTAAGACCTACTAGATTCCGGCATCGTCATTCAGGGCGAGTACCGTTGGTTCAAATTGATGAAGTAGCAGCGGATGGTGTGCCTCTGGAACTGGGGTGACGGTACGAGCAGGCTCCCCTGAGGCGGTGCCTTAAACGGTCCTCGGGAGCCCACTGCTGTTTGTGGTAGTCATTAGATAGCCGCCAAAGCCAAGACACGAGCGAGGGAACGGTGACTTTGTGGCGTCAGTGTCTAGCAAAGCAGTACCTGTAGGGAAGGCCTTGACCAATAGCTCATTTGGCGAGATCTTCACCAATGTTAAAGAGACCATGAGGCGAGCCAGTGTAGCCATCATCCTCTCTCATTTGGTAGTTGCTTTACTCTGCATCCCTTTACTCGGTGGATAGATTGGACCTTGCCACTTTGCCCCAAGAGGCATTTGTGTACCTGATCAATCGAAAGACTTCCACTGAGCAGTTACTCATCTTTTTGTCTTACAAAAAAACACGTGGAAACAGGTAATGGTCAGAGCTGGTGTGAGAAACGATATACGAGATTCAAGGATCATGTTGAGTGGAGAAAATTGAAGAATTTGCTTTCCGCCAGCTAATACCACCACATCCAACAGCATTGATTAGGGGTTTCTATCGCTAAGAGAAGCAGGTTCACCTCACATCACAGCCGATAAAGAGGCGACATGTTCATATTCGAGGCTTCTCCGGCGTTTATTGACTTGATATCATGATCCTTCAATTACAGTTTTATTAATGTCGTGGATGGTCAAATGTCTGACTGTCAGATGGCCTGCCTACTCATAATTACATGCCGACCGAGGTGATTGATTGACATGTCAGCAGCCTATCGACTCCTCTCTCGCCCAGAGTAATCACATCCCTTCCGTCAAGTTTCACCCCTATTTCACAGCTAATAGTCATGCAGACTCCGAGCACAATGACGGCCGTCATTTGTTCATCTAACTGAAATGTAGATGTTCGACTTGAACCCGGTTATGACTTGTTTTAACGCGCCTATTTACAGTGTGAATCTTTGTGCCAGAGCTTCCTGTGGCTAATGTTGAAGAAAGCTAGATGCGATTGGCGCCCACTTGATCCTCCAGGGAGGACTGATTCTGGTATGCTCCCCACCAACTGTGCGGCATGGTAGGGATTAGACACTTGGCCAAGGATACCCATTGTAAAAAAGTCATTCGACAGCGATGAGCTTGTTGGGAAGAAAGTCGGTAAACTCGGATCAACGGCTCCATAGTGAGGTTCCCCCAGGAGACTCCCTGCTATTCTTTTCTGAACGCGACAACGGCGTGGCTTGTCTCCCAACGTTGTTCAGCTGTGAGGTCATGGTTGTTCCGTAAAAGAAACAACGGTAGACGGAGATACTCCTGGGCCCTCCAAATGGTGCAACCTGGTTGATCACTAGAAGCCAATCAGGTTGTTTGGCAGCATCCACTAGCAACGTCTAAGCGCTCAGGCACCTGCATTCGAGCAGAATATGCGAATATGCACGGCCTCCCGCCAGGGGTGATGTCACAAAGTGATCTGTGCCAAACAACAGCCTTTTTGATGGGAGAGCCGTGCCAAATTGCACAGATCCTCCCGAAATTTCAATTGCAAACCACTGGTTGAGACATTGGTGTCTATGGACGAAGCCACCAATCAGTATGAAACGAGGGAATCGCAAGGAATAACTCTTTGGGATGAACTAGACAGTATCTTCTCAATTTAGGATGAAGTGGCGGCTAGGATAACGGTCTGGATATTGTTTTATCGGTATCTGAACCGTGCAGTTGAGTCAATTCCTGCAATATAAGAGATGGGAATATCACTTACCTTGGGGAGTTTGTTGGAATAGCAGCAGGAGCATTAGCAGTCATCCAATCTCTTCTCGTTTTCAATTCTTGCACTGTTTTTTTCACTTACACCTGCCTACCGGTGCAGAACACTCTTTCGGACATACAAGTCAATCTCACTCGCTTCCAAATAGACGTTTGCCTCAGTATCAGCAACTTCAATTCTTCATCTATTTCAAAATGAAGACCGCAGCTTTCACCACCGCCCTCTTTGCCGCCCTTGCGGCAGCCAGCCCCATCGAGGTTCGCCAGGCTTCCGGATGCAAAGCATTCACCGTACTCTTTGCCCGCGGCACTACCGAGATGGGTACCCTCGGCACCGTCGTCGGCCCCGGCCTCCAGAAAGCCGTTCAGTCGGCCCTCGGCGCTGATTCGGTTACTGTTGAGGGCGTCAGCTACCCTGCCGACATCGGCGGCATCATGTCTGAGACAACCGGCACTGGCCCTGGCAGTACAGCCATGACCAACCAAGCCAATCAATGGCTCAGCAAGTGCCCCCAGACAAAACTCATTCTCACTGGCTACAGCCAGGGCGGCATGGTCGTCCACAACGCTGGCAAAAAGCTCAATGGGAAGGGTGTCGTTGCTGCTGTCACTTTTGGAGACCCATTCAAGGGCCAACCTGTTTCTGGTGTGTCCACCGGCAAGTTCAAGAGCTTCTGTGCTGCTGGTGACACAGTTTGCTCTGCTGGCGGATGTGCCAGCTCCGGTGGCTGCGGAAGCACAAGCGCGGCTGGTCACATTGGATATGGATCCGACACCAATGCTGCCGGTGCTTTTATCAAGTCTGCGGTGGCTTAGATGCTTCTGCACATTCTCATGGCATTGTAGTGAGAAAGAGTTGTTGTTGGGATAGGAGAAAGGAATACAGGATTGGCGGAAAAATCATACGATAGGATGTCAGGCACTTCCTTTTCTTCATTATATGACTTTAACCTTCTTATATAGCTTAAGCCTATTAAGTGGCATCGGTTCGTACCCAATATTTGAAGCCAAACAGTCGCTTTAGTCAGATAATTATGACATGTACTGATGCTCTATACCGTTTTGCTGCGTCTGCAAAGTCTGTGGTCGTCTCCCATTACGCCAGCCCCTGATAATAATTTGACACCCCTGATTATGCCTCATCGCTGTCACTTTCGTGAGTGCTGACTTTCACCTTCGACTCACGCCATTTCTGAAGGAAAGGTAACCCGGCACCCGTCCAAACAGTCAACGCCACCACAAAGGCCAGCGCACTTTCCCATCCATGGGTCTTGGCGAAAGCCGGCGCTTGTCCGCTCGGCATCTGCAACTGCTGGAAAGGGATCACAACAGCCTGACCAACCGACACCATGAGGCCAAGTACCAAGGCGCGCTTCTGCTGGTCACCGCCACATGCCTCGTTTGCCCATCCAGCCAGCAAGGGGGTGTAGCAACCGTAGCAACCAGCAAGAATGAAGACGGCCATTCGAAGTGTATGTGGCACGCTCCACGCAGCCAATACGGCATAAACAAATATCAGCAAACACCCTACGGCGAGGCAGATGGGTCCGCGACGGCCAATTTTGTCGGAGACGTAACCTGTCGAGACCATAAACACAAAGTTGATAGCACCAATGCAGGTCGGAATGTTGTTGATCTCGGGTACCGTGTATAGCTTTGTCGACTTGAGGTAGAGTGTAAAGTATTGAATAATGTAGGAGCCGCAAGTCAACGTCCAGAAGCAGTAGGCAGCCGTAAAAGCATAGACTTGCCAAGAGCCGAAGACGCGGACGATGACAGACCAGTTCATCTTGCCGACTGGTTTGCGACCCTCTTCTTCAATGCGCTCACGAGCGCGCTGCTTCTCCCAGTCGCTGAGGTAGAAAGCTTTTGTGGTGTGAGGAGTATCGGGGAAACAAACCTAAAGATGGCATCAGTAACATGATCAACTGTATTGAAGATGAACTTACAATTCCATAAATCACAACAGGGATGGAAAGAATGAAGTCAAAGATAAACAGCCACCTCCAGGCCGACAAGCCACCCTTGCCACCCATTCCGGTGTAAAGTGCAGATTGCAAATATCCAGAAAACATTTGTCCCAGAACGCCACTCATGACAAACAGGCCGGAACGGCGAGACAACTCACTCTTGCGGTACCAAGAGCCGAGAACGTACATAACGCCTGGCCAGGCGGCTGATTCGAACATGCCGATGAAAAAGCGCAGGATGTAGAATTGGTGGGCATTCTGGCATTTGTAAAGGAACAGCACAAAAAGAGACCAAGTAAAAAGGCAGCCGGTCAGCCAAAAGCGCGGGCGCACAACCGTGATGATCAGGTTGGCGAAGGAACCGCCAATGATGGTACCGATGTTGAAGTAGGTGTTCATCCAGGAAAGCTCGTTGCCCGGACCGAAGCCGAGCTCTTCCGACATGCCAGATACATATGCATTAGAGATATTGTTTTGATCGAGCTAATTGAAGGCAAAATCAATGAACAAGCTGCACAAAGCACCTGAGAATGGCTAGTCTACACACCTGTTTGATGAAGTACGTGAGGCACCCGAAAGAAAGCAAAAACCAGTCGAGTTTGAATATCAGCTTCTTCTCCTCCGACGACGTGCCGGGTTCGTGCCAGTGGAACCATCCGGCCTCTTGGAGCTGTTGTGGGGGCTTCGATTTGGTGTCGGCAGCAGTGGCAACGCGGGACGTCGTTGAAATTCCATCCTTGTCTTGGCCGCGTTCAATTGGATCAACAGCCTTGATGGCGTTGGAAGCGTTGGGGTCGAGGTGCGCCATCTTTAGGTTGTTTTGGCAGTAATCTCTATATTGCGACTCTCGATAATCTCAGGAGAGAACTCAAAAGGGCAGGAAGCACAGAGGGTGCTCGGTGAAGCTACTGATGGAGCTCCTCCTATCGAAGGTGAAGATTGGGCTGGGCAGTAGATCTTTATCATGGCAAGGCTCTTAGGTAGACGCTAGAGAGCGGGCGATAGCCCGAAAGGGTTTCGATAACGATTTTTTCTGGGTCTAGCACGACATCGGCATTCGTCTCAATGTGACTTGATAAAAGCTTGTTGCTTTGGTGGTGGCAGAGCGCCGTAAACAACAAAAACATTTTCCTTCCGTGTACGATCGGGGAGGGGCCTGCATCCTTACCCCTTTCAGTAGGTTGTGTCGGGCTAAGCCCGGTGCTCTAGGTCCTTACTCGCAACGCCAAGCATTGTCCGTCTTATCCCCCGTTTCCCTGAACGATCTCCCCGCTTCTTCGGCTTCAGGTGCGATTGGCTCCTCTGCGTTCAACATCACCGAAGTAGTGTATCAATGAAAGACAGAGCGCTTTGTCATAATAGCAATCGCTGGCATACCTTCGTGGCGGCTTTCGGCATATGACGAGCCTCTTTCAATTCGGGTTCGATTACTTTTCCATCATTTCTACGCAACCGAGTTACGTTCGACAAGATGGTTGATTTTGTAGACATCAACGGCGCTCGCCTTGCGTATCGAATTGCCGGGCCGGAAAATGCTCCTCTTATGATCACGCTCCATGGCGGCCGAGGAATGGGTAGGCGTCATAAAGCATGTTCTGGCATAAGTTGCGAGTCGGCTAACTTGTATTTGCACAGGTGACCATAGATCCGACTTCAGAATTTACAGCCAGCTAAGCGACAAGATCCGGGTTCTGTCCTTCGACTATCGCGGACATGGTCAGAGCTCTTTGACAAAGCCTTACACCTTTGAGCAAATTGTTGATGACATCGAGGGAGTGAGACAACATTTCGCTGGAGATAGTCAGGTCATCATTTGCGGCGGCAGCTTCGGGGGGTTCTTAGCACAACACTACGCCATCAAGTACGCCCCACGAGTCTCGCATCTAATTCTCAGAGGGACAGCGCCATCCCACCACCGTAAGTCACAGTCTCATGCGGCTCATGTCATTTGATAACACTGACACCACCGTTCTAAGATGAGGCTGGCGCCATCAAAACGCTAGAAGAAAGGATTCACAAAGTCCCTAGCTTCTCTGTCAACATGTTGAAGAACAAGGTCTTCGGCGCTTACGAGAATGATCGCGAGTTTCAATTGATATACTTCGCGATGATGCCGCTTTACAAAGAGACCTTTGATCCTGATGCGGCATTGGGGAGCAACCTTGATGGAGTTTATGTTGCAGAATCGCATAGTAAGCCACACATGATCCCAGGATATATTGTGGTCACTGAGCTCAAGTGATTACCAGATGATCTCTATTCTGAGAAAGAAAAGTACTTTGATTACACGGACCAGTTGCCAAAGATCACGGCCAAGACACTAGTTGTTGTTGGCGATAAGGACTGGATTTGCCCTCCTGGTAAGCTAGTAAATTCTATTTTTCAGATTCAACACCAATAGGCTGACATACGTTGTCCAGAAAATTCAAAGCTAATTGCCGAAAGAATTCCTGGGGCTGAGCTGTTTATGGTTGAAGGCGCTAATCATGGAGTTCATGCTGAAAAGCCAGAGCTGGTACTTGGCAAAGTCCGAAAACACCTGGACATTTGACTGGCATACGTGATGATACACCAAAAAATCTGCAGCATGAAAGAATGAAAACAGACTCAGCCTTCCCCAGTTCCAACTAAATTTAATTGAAAGGGACTTAGCACCCTGATCAGCAAGGTGTTACAACTAGAAATGTGATACGATATTTGGTTCGTGATGCGCATGAGGGTAATGCGGATGATGGACTTGACGAAACAAAGGCTTCCGGTAGTTATAGAAACCTTGCCAAATAACAAATTCTAGAGAACGAAGGACTATGAGCAATTCCGAGTCTTTCTCCCTCGGCTGTGCTGCCCAATACGTATCTTGTAACCCTTGATGCTGGTGGCTCGGTTCATAGTCTCGTCTCTACTACCTGTGCCCGTGAAAGTGCCGTATATCACGGAGGCGGGTTGGCCTAGATTGCCAGTCTGCAGAGAAACGGCCGAAGGTCAGTCAGCGGTTAGAATGAGACAGCAAAATGACTAACACATCCCATCAACATTACCCAATCGTCCACACCAAGTCTATTCGCTTTCACCCGAACGTAAAACCGCATAGCCATTACGATGGTTGTAAGAATAGCCAGCGATATGGTGATCAGAAGACCTAGGGCAAGACCTTTGGAAATGACAGACAGAGATATGCATGGACTCTGACTGAAAAAACCCCAACGCATCTTGGCGGCATGATGGAAAGCTCGTTATCCGCGGCAAATCCCACAATGCCGAATTACATGTTTCCATACACATGCACACGAGGATTTGGCAACTTGAGTTCATTCGCTCATAACTCCTACTCGGATTCAAGATCATTGACTTCACGCTAGTTTCGGAGACTCTTCTTAAGGAATGTTCAGATCTCATAGTCGGATAGCCAGAAGCTGAAAGCCGAACGGAGAGCCTCCATGTACTGTGCGTAGCGGCCAACGTTGACCGGGATATATGCAGGAACCTAGTGCCGAAGCACACATCGGCAGCACCCTCCCGTAGAAGCGGGGAATTAAAGAATTCGTTCCGCCTTCTCGTTCTCGAATGACCTTGTTTGAGCGGAGATCCTTCTCTTATAAAGACTACAGAGAAGCAGCCTCGCCAGGCCCTTTGACTCAACAGATCATGCAACGGCACCCCCTTTTGTTAACTTCTAAGGCCAACTCGCTTCCAAGAAGACCTTGCGTTGTCTTCCGAAGACCTTGCTAACTCTATGTTTACGCTTCTCACGGAACAGCAGTATGGCAACGGAAACGTTCTTCAGATCATGATGGTCGGCAGCAAGGAGGCGCCTAAGGTTCACCAGCAAGAAGTTCGGCTAAAGGCTCTTTATCCTACTATCAGTCCTATGGGTGCGGGTACTAAAGCAATGGAAGAAGAGCTCAGCTTCATGAGAATAATTGCCGAGAAGGGGATGTGATCCACTTGATACGTGTGCAATTTGGACTTTTGGTATGTCCTGGTGGCTTGAAATGTGGATACGGTTTCTCTTGGGGAAAAGTGATGTTTCTGGCCAATTCCCCAAAGCTCAACGACAGAACTAGAAATACTCAGGTCCATTGTCAAGGATTCTACCCCTGATTCCACAAGATGGATTGTGGAGCTGATTCGGCTTGAAATTTGCCTTCCGTCATCATGATATCTAGATACGAAACGAAAAGAGTTAACGAACCGTTGAAGACAGCACAACCACTCAAAGAAATCCCAGTTCCAGCGAGCCCCAGCCATAGTCCATAGAAGATTCGTCGTTCCCAACAGCTGCCGAAGAACGGGTCGGACCGGTCGGAGAAAACGCAGTCTGGCCCCTAAACCCGGCCGGCGCCGAAGGCTGGCCGCCACAGTCGTCAGGAAACTCATGAAAAGCGTAACAAGTCGATTTGCCGAGAACCTCCTGCATCAGCGCGACAAGCCCGGTAATGATGGGTCGGACCATCGCTTGATACGACTCCCTCGACGAGGTCATCTGGCCGTTGCCGTAGACGTTGCTGGGGAAGTGGAGAGTGGTGTAGCCGTTGTTCGGCACGCCAGAGATGAGGCCCATGAATTGACGGAAGACGTGTGCAGCTTGTCGGGCTTGCGTCCAGCCTTCGGGAAAGGCCTCGAGAATGCTTACGATAACAGCTACTTCGTCCCTAGCTGAGAAAGACGTGCATTCTGCGGCGCAGGCAATGAAGCTATGAATCAGCACCAGGCCTACTGGAAACAGTCTGCAAAGCGTTACGCGGTTCAGAGGGAGTTGGCGTTGTTGCAAAAGGACTGATGTTGATTGCAGATGCTTCTGGGCGAAGCGGAGTAACTCGACTGCAGACACGATGGACCCGCAGGAGTTGAAGTGGCAGGGGTAGTGGAGAAGGAGTAGAAGATGATAGTATCTAGCACTCAGCCAAGTCACTGAGTTATGAATAGGCACATTGTCTGGCTCTAGCGGAGACACAAGACACCCATTGCTATACCAGTTCTCTATCTCGGACCTGATGTTCTGCGCGATGGCTCGTCTATCAGCTTGTGAGAGTGCGGCAACTTCGGACTGCTTCCGCGTATGGATCTGTTTCAGGATTCGGTCCTCTAGCTGTCTGAGCTGGATGACGTGTCGATTGGTCTGTAGGATAGACGCAAAGTGTTGCCGGTCAGGTGACGCAAATTCTTCGATGGTGAGGCCTGGCAGCGGGACATCGACATTCTCATCGATGAGTGCTACCGGAAGCCCGAGCGAGATGGCCATCATCCGGTCCAAAACGTAGATACTCCAGAATAATCGGTGGCGTAACTCAATGTCCATCGCTGAGAGGTTCTTGTCTTCAGAAGATCTCCTGCTCAGGCCAAGCAGCATGGCCTGACGAGAGACAATGCCAGCTATGGACCATGTTGAGATACCCTTGGGATCAAAGAGCGAGTACAATGCCACCAGAACCAGGATTTGAATTGATTCAAGATCTTCTCTTACCAAACACTCTTGAATGATATCTGCATACCCCACATCGAATTTGGATGCTGTGTCGTTGGGTATTTGCCCTGCTCTTTGAAGAGTGGTGCATCCGATAGCCATGATGAGGTAAAGTAACGTCGAGTCGGCATCTCTGCGCCTCTTTGATGATTCTCCCAAGGACTCAAGATCTCGTAGGACCTTGGTCCGGTTGACGAAGGGATACGCCCGGTTGACGTTCCGGAAATATGCGTCAACGAACCGCCGTGCAATGGCATCTCTAGGCAAACTCGAAGATGTGAAGCCTTCTCCGTCGCGAAGACCCTCGATGCCGAGTATCCTCCCGGGGTCAGGTGCTGGCTGAAGCAGAGCTCGCACGTGGTCATTGCCTCTCGATGACGGCGATTCCGAGTCCACATTCACCGCCAGGCTTCTCTGGTCAAACATGATTGATCCTGAGGTACTATGTGGCTGCTGATGCACTGCAAACGTGTCTCTTGGTTCTCCGCGGTTGCTCCCAACGCTCATAGACCCAGGCGTGGCTCCATTCGCCGGAGTCGTCGGGTTAATCTCCAACGGCTGCCCTACAGCAGTAGCAGCCGGCGACGAACCCAGCAACGAGGTGAGGTCCGTCCCCGTGTCCACAGCTTCCACGCCCGGGACACCCGCAACGGGAAAGTTGTCGTTGATGAAGCGTGACAACCATTCGATGCGGGCGCGCAGGTGATGCGTCTGGGCCGCGGTGGACGCGGCGGGCGTGGAGAAGGAACATTTGTGTCCCGCGTTGGCGCAAAGCGTGCATACGGGGAAAGTGCGGCTACACTTCTTCTTGAAGCTGCGGCAGCGGTCGCAAGCGGGGATGTCGCGGGTCGCCTTCGGCGATGACGCCGAGAGAGAAGAGAGCGCCACGGAGGCAGAGACATTGGCAGTGGCTGCAGTCGGGCTCGGACTTGGAAGCGCAGATGGGATTGGGACTGGAGCTGAAGCTGAGACTGGGGCCGCCGAGACTGCTGCTATCGCTGCTGAGGAGGATGAGACATCGGGGGCGGTCTCCGGTGGTGCCGGCAGCGCTGTCGCATTCGTCGAGGGTGGAGGATGGCGCACGGCGGGAGGTGAAGCCGAGCGACGCAGGGCGGCTGAGGATGGGGATGTTTGTCGGACGCGGAAGCGATGAATGCTTGCTTTGATCTGTTCGGGGGACATTGCGACGGTGGATAGACGGCAAGATGCCGACGCGACGCCCCTAGGAGTCGGGAGGCGTCCGGGTCACTGGACTTGACGCATACAGTACAGGCCTAAAGGGGGGGTCGTTTGAGATATGACTGAGTCGGGGAACTCTCCGCTTGTTATCCTGACTGGCTCATCGCATGTCGAGGCGGAGGATCGTTCATCAGCAACTTAGTCCCATGACTACGGGGGTCGCGATGTTGTGCGTGTTACTATTGCAGAGTGTAAAATCTCCTCCCCAGCGTTGCAACGAGGCTGTCTACCTATCTGTCTTCATACCCGGTCGCTTTTCGCGCAGATCCGATAATAGGGTTGAGAGGCCTCGAGCCGGCCGGGCAACACCCAGGCAAGTTTCGATAGCAAAGCACGACTCAAACAGGCATAGAGCACGCCATTGCCGTAGGCTCTTCGGGGGCGACGAATGAGAACTCGTCTTTTGGCCGTTGTTCCAGTCGGTCGGCTCAATTTGGCCCCGCTGCCGGGATGCGTCATTCAGAGTTAAAATTTCCTCAGAATTTTCTCTTGTGTTAAGGGGAGAGGAGAGATAAGGGAAGGCGGATAGGGTAGCGGCCTTATCGTCAGACTGGAGGATGAGCCTGGACGCTCCAACTGAAGTAGCAACAGAGTTAGAAAGACAACTCAATGCCAAGAACAGCAACTCAGGAACCAGGAACGCATTATCTGACTTGCATGAGACTCAATGTTCGTCCCAAGGACATACACACCCTGAAGGCTTGCAGGAGAGCCCACACCATTCGAGCGCCCCAACTAGCATCAACAGTGCCAATCCTGGTGCTGTCGGGCCAAGTCCGACAGGTGTTGGTGGCCCCTCCTCTCGCGATTCAGTGGGCCGTTCGTCCGACAGCAAACCACCAACCCAAGGCTCATTGTGTCAGCCGAGATCTACAGACCTGGGACAGCAATCGGCTGATGCACTGTTACCGACATAAATCGCTCGGAGAAGCCAGTCAATCATTTAAGTTGGGGTTTTCGCACAGGTTGCGTCTAGGGAAATTACTACCACTCCAATACCCATCACCGTCACCACTGTTGAGGTATTCCGCAGCCCCTCAGAGCAAAGCTCAGTTTCACTCCGCCATTATGTCGCCCATGTACCTCGAGGATAAACTCAACATCAACCGGATCGCCGTTATCGGCGCCGGACCGTGCGGCTTGGCCGCCGCGAAGTAAGGCGTTCTTATCCAATCACGAAGTGCAGCCGTTTACACGATATCCAATAGATACTTGGTGGCGGAAAAGAAATTCTCCAAGGTTCAAGTCTTTGAACAGAGAGATAACGTCGGTGGTGTGTGGACGTACAGCTCTCTGAACGTCATCGACAGCGACTTCAGCATCCCCAGGACGCGGCCTACCAAGAACCCAGACACGGCCATCGCCGTTGAGGGTCATGAGGCCAAGCAATTTGTCTCTCCTGTGTACGACTACTTGGAGACTAACATCCCGCACACTTTGATGAACTACTCGGATCAGGAATTTCCTTCCGGTGCATCTCTATTTCCTCCACACCAAGTGGTGAAGAAGTATCTTGAAGACTATGCTGAGGAGTTGAAGCCTAATATCTCATTGTCAACGCAAGTGTTGTCTGTCAAGAAGGCAGTGAATGACAGTCAGGTGAATTGGGAGATTGAAACTCGGGATCTGAGAACGGATGAGACGAGTAAAGCCCCGTTTGACGCCGTCTTGGTCGCTAGTGGTCACTACAACGACCCTTTCATTCCTGATATCCAAGGTCTTGCCGATTTTGACAAGGCTCATCCGGGCTCTGTTTCACACTCCAAGTTCTACAGAAACGCTGCGCAATACGAAGGCAAGGTGAGATGAATGCAGCCTTAGGAATAAATCACAGCAGCTCACTTCGTTGTAGAAAGTTATCATCGTTGGCAACTCAGCCTCGGGCATCGACTTGAGTGCGCAGATTTCAACTGTCTGCAAACTTCCCATCATTATCTCTGAAAAAACAGTACCAAATACCCCAGCCGAGGACCGCTCATCGTGGGCAAAGATGCTCCCTGAGATCGCGGAGTTCATCCCGGAAGGCCGTAAAGTGCGCTTTGCCAACGGTGAAATCGAGTCGGGCATCGACGGCGTCGTTTTCTGCACAGGCTACTTCTACAGCTTTCCCTTCCTCCGCGACCTCTCCCCACCTGTCGTCACCGACGGCGCCTTTGCTCGCAATTTGTATGAGCACCTGTTCTACATTGACGATCCAACACTTGCATTTGCCGGGATCCCGCAACGCATCGTGCCATTTCCTGTCTCCGAAGGTCAAGCGGCATATGTAGCGCGTGCATGGGCGGACCGACTGCGTTTACCAAGCCGTGCCGAGATGAGAGAGTGGGAGATACGTGTGCTCAAGGACAAGGGGGAGAGTAAGATGCTGCACAGCCTCGCATTCCCCAAGGACTTAGACTACATCAACATGCTTCACGCGCGGAGTCTCCAGGCCGAGAAGAGGCCTGGTTTGGAGAATGACGGCGTCGGTAAGATCCCACCGTTTTGGGATGACGAAAAAAGATGGACTAGGGAGCGGTTCCCGTTGATCAAGATCGCCTCACGGAAGTTGGGCGAGAAAAGGCATGAAGTGACAACTCTAGAACAGCTTGGGTTTAACTATAAGGCATGGAAGGCTGGTTTGGGTGAGGAGGACAAGCTGCTGTGAGGTCTCGTATTGAAGGCTGTGTCAGAGGCATTGCATATGTAGCGGGAGCTAAGACTCTTGGGGAGATGCATAGAGCATTGCGACGCACATCTCGTCGATGAGGCTGGTTGTCCGTGTAGATGCTTCAGCCAGTGTGGTATGTCATTAGCGGGTGCTACATAGGCATGCTCTTGCTGATTTGTACAGTGTGATCGTTTTGATTTATTACGCCATCAACATATTTGGCATCTGATTATCACATGGTGCACACACAATTAGATAACAATACTCATTTCAAACATTTTGGGATAGCTTGTATATGTACCAGCAAAAGAGGATTCATCAATGGGAGTAGTATGATACGTCTACAACAAGCTGACAAATAGGTTGAAGCTTGACATCTGATTCCCGCGCGCTACGATCCTTCTGAATACCTAACCGCGCGGGTTGACGTAGCTTATAAATATCGGACGCAAATGGCGCGGAGGCAGCGAACTCTGTTTTACGTCATCAACTATTCCAACGACTATAGATAGAGTTTGATTGTGTGCTTCCAAACTCATAGAACCCCTCACATGAGCTTTCTCATGCATCCCGCAGAAATTACTTGTCCCACTCAGATGTATAACTAGCTGCATAAGTTGCTATACCAGCACCTCATCGCCAGTTAATTGAATCCAACCTTCTCCCCAAGTTTTTCTAACCACGCGGGTTTTATATCGCTGAGCCCACCATGAGTAAGGAGGTTTGTGCTGTCTTCCGCAAGGACTTCAAAGCTACTTTGCCGAAGATCTCCGCTAATAAGTTCACTGCATAGAACGACCCCCTCAGAATGCAGCCGGGAAAAGGCGGGGCCTTCGAGCGTAACGAAGCCCAGTTCCGCAACTTCATCTCCAATGGCCCTAATGCGAAATTCCCGGCTGAAAAGGGTCGCTATGCACTCTATGTCAGTCCAGGATGCCCATGGGTAGGTACTACGAGAGCGATTCGCGGCCTCGTCCTATGCTAATTTGATGCAGTGCCACCGTGTCATGATTGTTCGCGCACTGAAGCGCTTGGAAGACGTTGTCGACTTGTACATCTGCGGGATGAGCATGGGCAAGGAAGGCTGGTACTTTGACGACAGCCCAGAGGCCGCAAAGTTCGGCGTCCTGCCCAAGGATCCCGTGTATGGTTTCAAGACCATCAAAGAACTGTACCTCAAAGCCAGCCCGGGCTACAACGAACGTGTGACCGTTCCTGTGCTCTGGGACAAGAAGACACATACCCTCGTCAGCAACGAGTCGAGTGAGATCATACGCATGTTTTACACCGAGTTCGACCACCTTCTGCCCGAAGCCGACCGAGAAGCTAGCAGGTCAGGCGGAGGGCTGTACCCAGAAGCTTTGAGGAAAGAGATCGATGGGATCAACGACTGGGTCTACCACACCGTAAACAATGGCGTTTATAAATGCGGCTTTGCATTTACTCAGGCCGCCTATGAAGAGAACGTCGAGAATCTGTTCAAGTCGCTAGATCGATTGGAGGACATTCTCAAGAACCGCACTTTCCTTCTTGGCGACCACATCACCGAAGCCGATGTCCGGCTGTTTCCCACCATTGCACGGTTTGATACGGCCTACTTCCCTGTTTTTATGTGCAACCTGGGTTTGATCCGCAACGACTATCCCAATCTCCACTTGTGGCTGAGAAGACTGTACTGGGATCAAAGCGAGAAGACGCATGGAGCATTTTTCAAGACGACGGAACCCTGGATCTCACTGTATAAAAGTGGTTATGGCAATGCAAGAGCAAGAGTTTTGGGTATCACTGGGCCAGTAATTATTCCTAAAGGACCGCGCGTTACGATCCAAGAGCTGAAGGAAGAGGAGATGTTAAAGAGCTGAGGAGATGTTGAATTGTTTGATGATCCGGTTCATGATTGCTAACTAGCTTAGTGCATTGATGGGCTCCGATGGACTGATATATTTGTCATCGCCACTCCTTCTGCTGGAGCGACTTTAGGGAGGGGGTTAAAAATTGAAATGACTGTTTACTTTTCCAGATGTGTTTTTATAATTTCGTTTCGAAATGGTTGCTTCGCCTGTGAGTATTCGTTGTGTTGGTTTACTATGGCGAACATGAAAATGCTCTTATGAGTGGAACGTCCGGTAAAGATAGTGGTGTGTCCATTGTCATGGCAAAGGTGTACGCATTAGGCCTATTTGGGTGCTACGTCTGACGCACCTATGTGCCGACATCATGCCACTCTACCCACTCATGCCACTTCTGTAGTAGTTTAGTGCATACAACCTTCGCCTTGGTAACAGCAGCCGGGCGTATAGGTTGGCAAGGCTAACGCGTTGCGGGCCATATCAGGTCAGAGGTCAAGAAAACAGCCGAGGCCAAGAACATGTGGGTGTAAAAGTAATTATCGGTGGTCAATCTGGTGTGTTATGGCCTGCATAAACAGCGTGTGCTAGAGAATTGACGAGAAGAAATCTTGGGCAGATTGTCCAGGATACGAATTGGCGAAGAATCTCCAATCCACGTTGATTTACGGCCTTTACCAAGCTCGAGGAGTCAATCATGTCAGCCGGGTGAAGAGGTAATTGGGTTGAGCAATTACTGTGTCCGAGGCGGTGCTTGTCAGCCTGGGGCAGTGCTTGTTGACACAACCGTTGGTCGGCAGCAGGCATTCTGGCCTCAATTGTACCCAAAGTTGCGTGACTCCGTGATCCTGAACATTCCAAGGGCAACTATCTGCTATGATCCGATCATTGAACAGCGCCCCTTTTGGGTCGTTGGTTGCTTGCGCCCGAGATGGGAGTGTCAATGACAAACCGATAGGGTCCAGCCGACAGCCTGGTCAAGGTTGTCAAATTATCATAATTCAAGTGCCGATGTCTTCCATCTCGAGGATCTGCTGAGTTTCATCCCGATCGAAATCATCTTTGTAAAGTATGGTCATCGGTCTCACAGCCCATTAAAAGCGTTTACACCCTCGCCTGAAGCCATCTCAAGGTTAACAAAGTCGCCCAGCGTCTAAGAAGGTTGCATAACCGATTGCTATAAGATGCCTGCAATCCAAGTACCAGACGTTGTGTGTATCGTCCTCTACATTTTTGGTATGATGAAAGGCTGACATAGGACAGTGGGAGTTCCACACCAAGCAGGCTCCGACAAATGCTCGAACCCGAATATAACTACCATCTTTGGCATTACTATAGCCGTCATGATCATCCTCCTCATTTCACTCATCATATAAGGCAAAAATAGAGCAATGAAGAGGGAAGAAGGGCCCGTGTCTAGGTATATGGCCGTCGTGGCTACCAACGAGGGTGGGCCGGAGCCCCTAAACAGCCCTGCTTACGGTAAGGGTCAATTCCCGGGGCCTCAATACGGCTTAACGGTAGCGGAAGAGAATAACGTGGGCTACAGTAGCAGGCATAAAAGGCACTTGATGCCGCATCCAGCCTACTCTGCTGATACTTCAAATAATGGTGGAAGCTACTGTCCGAGCACGTCTACCGGTGGGATTGAACGTTTGACTTCGAGTTGCGGTGGGACGACTCGTCAAACTCTTCATTCTCAACAAACACAATGGCAAGTTCGTGGTTAGTTCGCTGCTACTTAGAAAAGGCATCACAGATTAGCTTAGACTATGCCCCATTCTTCTACAAAGCCAAGCCGAGAGTTTAGAATCACCGTGTGGAAACGGCGTCTGGTCTCTATTGTTCTGGTCACAGCATTGGCAGTAACGTGACTCTCGTTTCCTTTGATGTGCCCCTTAGTAGCAGATTGTCCTTGATCTGAGAAATTCACGGGCAATGTTCTCAAGTGGATAAAGGCAGCCGAGCTCAAGAAAGGACACTTCTGGTAAGGCAGATCCATCGTGCAGGCCAGACACCGGGGCTGCCCTTTCGATAAGCTTCACAATATATGGATGTCACCTGCATGCAAAACTGGCGATGAAATCTTCGACAATGGCCTGGACGGGCTTGATATCAGATTATTGCGGTTCGAACGCAACTATTCTCCTTCCCAAAAGGAGCGGGCTTGATTTCCTAACGCCGACGTGGACTACCCTCAGCCACCACATAACACATTGCATGTACCTGCTACCTACTCAAGGCTGCGGTTTCGCTCAATTTAGGAACAAAGGTAGACATGATGGTTCACATGTGGAATACGCCAAAAATTGCGCGACCGTCAAAGAGACCCAAAAGAGCAAGAGAGAAATCGTCTGACCATATGAACTCAGAGCGTATTGAGCTCTCTAGAAACGAAGGAATGTGACTGATACCATTTCGGCATGGAAAACTCCGAGGCTAATCGTTTCCCCGCAATTAAGAACAGGTACATTAGTAATGGGCTGGCCACGAAATACAAAGGTTCAACCAGATCAAAGGCATGTCTGAGCATAAATGGAAAATTATTAGTGATGAAAGAGGGATTAAAGGCTGTGGTCGGACGCCCTCCGAGATACATGCACATTTTGGTATCAGCGGGCAGTTGCGTCACTATGCGCGAGAAAGATTTCCCGCAAGTATAGTGAAAGGCGCGAAGCTACTACTAGATTATAAACCCAAGCAATTGTCTCAAAATTCTGGCCAATCTGTCGGTCACACGAATCATCAGAGCAAGCTCAACTACACTTCCATTCAGACGAATATCACAATGTTTGAAGGCTTTCAGTCGTTTACTGTCACCACACAGACTTCGCCAGAAGTAACCATCTACGGCATCAAGAGTGGGGACTCGTCATCATCACTTCCACCCCTCCTTTTACTTCATGGCTTCCCTCAAAGCCACCACATCTGGCACCGAGTCGCCGAGCAACTCATCGATCAGTACACTCTCATCTTAATCGACATTCGCGGGTACGGCAAATCGTCAAAACCAGACGATGTGGCCTCGTACGCCAAGAGCACGATGGCACGTGATTGCGTGAGCGTTATGGACCACCTCGGCTACGCCAACAAACCATTTTACGTCTGCGCGCACGACCGTGGTGCCCGCGTTGCGCATAAGCTCTGCATCGACTTTCCTGACCGCGTGCGCAAGGCTGTTTTCCTGGATATCTGCCCGACGCTTGTAATGTACAGAACGACGGATTTTGAGTTCGCCAAGGCGTACTTCCACTGGTTCTTTCTGATCCAACCTGAGCCGCTTCCTGAGAGCCTCATCAACGCATCACCAAGGCAGTTCATAGAGCTTTTTATGGGCGGCCGTCAACCCAAGGCGTTGGAGATTTTCGACAAGGGTAACTTTGAGTACTATGCCAGTGTGATGGAACAACCGGCGGCCGTGCACGCCATGTGCAATGATTACCGTGCGAGTGCGACGTTGGACCTCGATGAGCAAGAGGCGGACCTAGAGGCTGGGAGGTTGATTCAGTCGCCCTTGCTGGTGCTCTGGGGTAACCAAGGCGTGATCGAAAAGTGTTTTGATGCCGTCAAAGAGTGGCAAAAGGTTACTAGCAAAGACGTGTCGGTGAAGGGCAGCAGCGTTGATTCGGGGCATTATATCCCGGAGCAGGCACCTAAAGACGTTGTTAAGGCTATTGCTGATTTCTTTGTCTAGTCAAACATACGACTAACAGATCGATCTTGAGACTTTTCTTCTAGTGTTCTTCAAATTATCTGCCATAATAAATTGGTTACTTTGATTCAGAGACCCGTTCTAACCCTAGTCTTGAACCCCCTGCGCCCTTTGCCATCATGAGGGTCTAGGGCTGGCCTATTCGTCAAGCCCGCTTGAAAGCGGGCTTGTTTCCAGGGCGTTGTGGCAGAGTGGTCTAATGCGCAAGACTAGAAATCTTGTTCCTTCGGGAGCGTCTGTTCGAATCAGGCCAACGTCGATTTTTGTTTTATACCATTGAGGTCATTACTGTAAGTCTATACTGACCTTTAACATGAACTTGAGAACTCTAGACAAATGCATGAACACAGCGAAAATCTGTAGAAGTTGGGCTGTTTAGCACCATGAGGAAATCGACCCTCAATTCATGGCTTATTCCTGGCACAGGATCAGCCCCCGGTTTCAAATGCCCAGCGACTGGAATGAGAACCCCTTGCCGATATCGTCCTCTGCTTCTGCCACGAACGCACTTGATCCAATGTAGAAGGCCTGCCCACTTACCTCGATCCTCCAAGCTTTGTCTCCGCCAACCTCAACCTCTTCTACTGCCGTACCAACAAAGGCATTCTTGTACCCCTCAACAGCTCTTGAGACCAGGCTATGATATGCCCTTGGCTCGCCCAGTTTCCTCTGGCCTTTCGCCATGGCCAAAGCCACTCTCGCCTGCACAACAGAGCCTGTTGGACTCCGATCAATCTGCTGGTCGCCAAAGAAGTACAGGCCTGTCTCTGCGCCTACACAGCCCGGTGTCGTGGGAACTTTGTCATTGCTACCTGTGTCTGTGATCATGACGCCATACAAGTATTGCGGGCTTTCGTCGTCTGGGTTGTGTAGACGGCCTCGAAGATCGGGCGAGGCATTAAACGTCTCTTTCAACACCTTCGCGGCGTTACTGAGCCCTGAAATGTCGGGTTTCGTAAGTGAAGCAGGAAACCCCAATGCTGAAGCGGAGACGATGACGTAGAAAGCGCCGCCGAAGCCAACATCGACGGTAACCTGTGCATCATCGCTCAACTCAGCCCAGCGCATGTTTGTTGGTATCGACACGGGCAGACCAATTGCGGTCACAAATGTTGGTACTGAGAGGAACGTGATGAGACGACTCGTGTCCGTTCTCCAGGAACCATTCACCTCGACAACGGGGACTGTTATCCGCACAAGTCCAACCGGAGCATGTAAGTGTACTTCAACTTCCTTCCGGTCTCTGTCAAACCGAAGATCTCGGCGCCGCGGGAAAATGGTTGCATCGGTACAATCGACAAGAAACCTGCCGAGGGCGATGGTGGCGTGGCCGCACATAACGCCGTATCCTTCGTGTGTGAGAAACAGCGCGCCCATGTGAGCTTTCCCCGAGTCTACCAATTCCGTATGTGGTCTCAATACAGCTCCATACATGTCTCGGTGGCCACGCGGCTCGTAGATAATGCTGCGGCGGATATGGTCATGGTGAGATCGGGCCAGTGAGCGCTGTTCCAGGAGTGTGCCGCTGTGGATTTGTTGTTTGTCAAACAAAGGGCTTGTAGGTTGATTGTGAGAGCTTGTGGAATGGGGGACTCACGGGATGTCGGGGTAGCCAGCGTACACGATGCGTGCCGGTTCTCCCGAAGTGTGCATTTCAACAGTCCGTATCTCAGAGCCCACGAGGGGTTGAATGAATGAAGGTACACTCATTGTATCTTTGTATGGGGTGATTTTACAGTGTCGGGATTGGGGAGATGACTTCACCGTTGACGATGTACCGAGAAAACCTTGGATGATGCGATTGGAGACAAGGGGCAAGGCTCAAGGCTGGTTACGAACTCCCCGAGTCGGCCCCACTTCACGGCCGCTGTTCCGATGTCGGGATCATCAGTGGCTCTTGAGCCTCAGAGAACACCGTACGATCATGCCGCAACATATCCATGAAGCGGAGAGCGCAATATTTTGAAGCTACGACACATTAATTCATCATTTGCATCTTCAACTCGAAGACTAATTCCATGAGGTGTTATGAACTTTTCATGACGAGGACCTTCAAGCAGCGGCATCGGCAAAACTCCTTTGGCATGGATATGGTCTACTGTCTTACTTGGGATTCAAGACACACAACTTCTGATGTCTGAACGCGCAATGTGTGAAAATATCTAAGAGCCTCATTGGAAGTGTGACAGTACGACGGCAGAGTCCTCATGTCGTCTGACCCATTGTGCAATCTAGACCCCGAAAGCTTGATCAGCGGCCAAACCGCCTACCATAAGAAACATCGGATTTTCGAGCTTTTCGCGTGGGCAGCAGAAGCCACTCGTCGCCGACAGAGTACGGGCGGGCACAATTTTCTTGACAAGAATTGATATTCCCCAGTATTCATCCCTCGCCAACCATGCAGTTATGCATATGTTGAGTCGCCGGCCAACGGTTATTCTTAGCCAACAATGGCATTGGGATTTCGGAGATACAAAAGAAAAGGCCAATGAAGTCCAACTCTTCCGATCCCATGCTGACAGCAGATGTCTCGATGGCCCGACGGACTCAAAGAACTATTTTCAGAAATCTGTGGTCCCTCATTTCACTTCCCGTCGCGGAAGACTAACCTCACTAACACTAGCTCGCTCGGAATCTATCCCACCGTATTAGGTTCACGGCCACATTCTGACAGGCTCACGGGCTTCTGGAAGTCGCAAAACGTCTTGCAAGACACGCCACCGGCCCGCCATTAGGGGATACATCCCGGAACCAAAGGCATGATGCTTGTCGTCTAAACACCAGAACATCGTGTAGAAAAAAAAGGCCGAACACTTCCTCGTACGCAGTGGCGCCTATTGATCCTGTATACGCAACACGACGCCCGGTCAGCACATCTCCAAACCAGGCCAGACGCGCTCTTCTGCTGCGCGCCTCAACGATCCGAAGTCTATGTCTGCGATAAACGCGAGAAACCATTGAAAAGGGCTCTGGTTTTCTTCACTTCATGCCCGTCGCGGGCGTCAGGCCCGAACCCGAGCTTCTTTCTTCTCTTGTCTTCTTTCCTCTTCGTTCTAGTTCATGCTATTCTTCAGCTCTGACCCTTAGGAACCGTTACCCTCAGACCACGACGTTTCATCAGACCAGACTTGATGAGACTGCAGCAGCCCGCTAAGTTTTCGAGATGCACATCTCATCGCTAGTGGTCGTGCCAAGCTTGTCTGCGCTGCTCGTCGCAGAGTTTGCCGTCGCTTCCGCCGTGGATCACCTAGAGGGAATTATAACCAAACCCGTCTCTTCGGCCCCGTTCCACAACGTGACTCCGGCCCCAGATCCAGGCCATGCATTTCACCGACTTTTGAAAGCCCGACAGGGAGACCCGGGAACCTCCGATGGCCAGACGAACTTCATCGCGTGGTATTCACAGTCGAACAATTGGATATCAGCAATATGTCCGTCGCAAGACTACTTCGCCGCCAACGAGAAGTTTGGGGTCTGCTGTCCACGGAATAGCCCATACTGTAACGTGGCGACGGCGTGCGGAGGTCCATTCAATAACTACGCCACTGGACCAAACTATCAAGCAGACTGGTAGGCTCTTGTCTGGAACCCGATGGAAACGGCAAACTGACACCAAGCAGCGGTCCGAATAATACTTGCGATACCATTACCATGCTGCAGTCCCAGGGCAGCACTGACGCACGCAGTATTATCTTCTGTATCGCCATGTCAGATTTGTACGTCCTTCCAAACACCTGGTACCGCGTCACCTATCTACGTAAGTCTATTAGACATTGTTACACCCTGCCTCGACTAACAATGTTTGTCGGTCCCTGTAGCAGAACCAACAGCAACAGTGACCGTGAGTGCATTAGTGACGACAACCCTCCAAGTTTTGAATGGCACAAGCGGCCGTTCTGCCTATCCCTTTAAGTCGCCGCCCACAGGAGCGGCAATGCTTCTCGCGGCAGCAACTATTACGTTCATCATATTTGTGGTACCCTGAACATGATTTTGCAGCTACTGAGATGATGAGCTTACGTACGCTCTTTGTGTAACAGAGATGAGGATACACATGAGCTCAGTATATCCCAGAACAGAAAGGATCCAAAAGCCTGGGTCTGACATGGACAAGAAAAGCAGCATAGAGGAGCTTGCCACCACCATACAAACTCTTGACTGAGTCAGCGACTCGGTATGGTGGTAAAGCAAAATCGCTGCGGCAGCACGAAGGCTTTGGGATGCGAGAAAGCGCGTTTGCAGATCCCCGGAGACGAACGGCATGCAAGAGCGGTCCTAATGATGAAAGGTTAGTGGGAGTTAAGCAAGTAGTATTCATTGCGACCAAACTTCAACATGAAAATAATTGGTTTACATAACAATTTACAGTCCAGCATATCTTATCCGAAAGGAAAACTGTACGAATAGACCCTTTCCGGGAAGCTGTTGCTTTATAAGGGGTAGACTTGACAAACAAACTTATGTATTTTTGCATCTCAAAATGACCAAAACTGACCAAGCACTCTCCAAATAGAAGGAGCATGTGCCCAGAAATCCTACGCAGCCATGCATAAGTTCTAGACGGTGTCCGTAGCCGGATACCTACGGCCGGACCCCCACTCCGTTCGGCCCCGCTCTTAGACTTTAACCACCCTCCTGAGCCGAGACCCCTCGACCTCGGCCCTTTTCCTCCCTTTGACTCAGCCCACTGTCCCTATTATCAAAATTTTGCATCCGGAAGATAATTCCTCTACGGGTCTACGAGAACCATCCGGACCACCCATAGAAGAAAGCACACACACAATAGGCACCAGGGCAAACTCGCCCGACACTCGCGCCACCAAACCTGGCTAACCAGGCGCGGCAGCCTCACAACACACCAAGCCCTCCTCGATCCTTAACTCGTACTTCGGACGCGAGAGACCCCCGACCTTCCCCCGAAACTCCTCCACTCCCCTTCGTCCGATCACACTTCTCCCTTTCCTTGCTCCGACCCATCAAAGCCAGGCGTCTGCCGACTTGCCTCACCACCAAACACCCATCCATCCCATATCTCACGTCATCGATTCAAAACATGGCCACCCCCAACTTTTCACCTTACCCCATCTGCAGTGCATGATTCGCACGGCGCTCGGTCCAGTACTCGTTCACCAGGAAGTTCGATCGAAGTGCTTCCTATGCCGACGGAATAGCCCCCGAAACCCCCGTATTACCCAGGCGCTGATTCATCGGCTAGACAACAGACCTCGAAGCTTGCTGCTGAGTCAGTGACACACTGCTAGATCAAACGGGGAGCCCTTGGCTTAGAGCCTGATCGATGACTGCGTTATAAGTGCAGTAATGGCCATACCATAGTAAAAAAATACCTCAGGTTGAAATTAAGTAGAGTTTCCTATATTATTAAGGCTTAAATTAGGTAATGTATTACTGTTATCCCTGTAGAGGTTATTATCCTTACCACTTTCCCTTTTCTCTAGGCTAAATAAGCTTTATTTCCCTTTACTTTTATCTATATTATTATTTCTTATTAAATTACTATAAATAATTACTATAATTACTTATACTTTTATAATAAGTAACTAATAAAATAAAAAAAGGCTTTTTATTAATATAAAAAGCTCTATTATTATTTAACTAATTACCTTAGCTTCTATTACTAATAAATAAAAAAACTTATTATATTAATTAAAAAGAAAACTAGTAAAAAAGTAATAGCTTAATAAAGAAGTTACTTAAAATATTATTAAAGTTTATAATAAAAATAATAATAAAAAATATAATAAAGTTAATAATAAATCCTTAAATAATATATTACTTTTTCTTAAAGATTTATTTAGTTAATAAATACTAATATACTCTTATACTATTTAGACTTTAAAGCTTATTTATTACTTTATAAAGAAGCTTTTTAATTTATATTATAATAAAAACCTTAATACTAATAAAACTATTATAAAAAAGCTAGTCTTTAAAGATCTTATAGTATAAATTAATATTAAAAACTAATTTATTAGTTTTATAACTAATAAATAAATAAAAAATAAATATAATAGTAAAAAAAAAAGGTTTTTTATTTAAATATTTATTACTTATAAGTTAAGTAATATATTTAATAAAGATAATAAAAAGGTCTTTTATAGTAATAAGGTAAAAAAGAACTTTTTAATTACTTATTTAAAGTATAAATAGGTTTTTAAAAAAAGGTTAAGACTACTAGATCTATATAAAGAGATATAAGGTATAAATATTAAAAAAAGTAATATTATATTATTAATTAATAAGGTTATATATAGCTAAAAGACTAACTCTAAGGTAAATAAGAATAAAGAAAATAATAAAAATAATAATAATAACTTAGAGAATATATAAAAAAATTAGTCTCTTTATATACTATTATAATTATTTATATTATTTCTTAGTACTTTTATATTTTTATAAAACTAGTAATTTAATAAATAATTTTAGTAATAGTATATCCTTATTAATAATAATAAGTTACTAAAAAAAAGACTTACTACTACTAAAGCTAACGCTTATATTAGTAAATTAATATAAGAGCTTAAAAATAAATATTTTAGTAATAAAAAAGAAGTACTAAAGTTAAAGCTATAAAAAAAAAATAAAAAAAAAGTAACTATTATAAAAAAAAGCTAAGGTTAATAAGGTAATAAAAGACCTTATAAGGTTTAAAAAAGATCTTAATTATAACGTTTATTTAGTTATTTTAAACTAATTAATAACAAAAAAAAAAACTAATAGTTTTAAAAGTAAAATATTAAAATTTACTATTAAGTAATAAATTAAAGAAAATATATTATATAGAGGTTTATAAGTAAGAAATTAGGTACTAGTAGTAGGATCTTTTTATTTATAATAATCCTTTATAGTAATCCTTAGTACTAGTCTACTTATAGAAATATCTTTTAAGTAGTATTCTTATTTCCTCTTATAGTATTTCCCTTAACTATTAAACTATAGTTCTCTTTCTAAAGCCTTATTAAACTATAGTTCTTTTTCTAAAGCCTTTTATAGTACTACTTAAGTATAAGCTTTTATGTAGTAGTTAAGCTAGTTTTTTTTTTTCTTTTACTTAAACTAAAACTAGAACTAGATAGCTTTTATTTAAGAGACTAAAAGGACTTTAAAAGAGGTTAATAATAGTACTAGTTTTTACCTATTAGCTCTATAGTAAAAAGAATAGACTTAATATAGTTTATATTTTTTTTTATAATAAGAACTCTTTTAATATAAATAATAGTTAACTAGATAACTAGAAAGATATAAGTTAATTATTATAGTAATTAATTATAGTAATTATATATCTTTAAATATAGCTATAAAATAAGTCTTAGTAGCCTCCTAGAATATAAGAATAGCTATTTTCTAAAAGCAAAAGTTATTTTATTAAAAAACATTATATATAATCTTTTTATAAAGACATTAAAAGGATACCTTTATTATTAGAAGGTTAATTAACTTCTAATATTTATAGATTTTATAAAAAATAATAGCTAAAAATAAATTAGTATTATAATAATTACTTATAGTAATTAAATAAATACTTACTACTAGCCTTTTAGTGTCTTTTCTTTAGAGGGGTAACTATAACCTTCTTAAGCGTTTTTTTAGTAACCTTTTTAGCTAAGGGTTTTTTTATTAGGGCTTTAATAGTAGAGGACTTTTTAGTACTATTCTTTTTTATAAAAAGCTTTTTAGTACCCTTTTTTAAAAGGCATTTATAAAAAGCTTAGGCTACTAATATTATAATAAGTCTAAATAGTTAATAATTTTTAAGAAAAATAGAATAAAAAAAAAATAACTTATAAAAGTTATTATTATTATTATTATTATTATTAAAAAAAAAAATTTAAAAAAAAAAGAAAAAAAGAAAATAAGTAAAAAAATATAAGTAAAATAAATGTAATTAATAGTTAAAAAAAATATAAAAAATAAAGTAATTTATAGTTATTTTATTTATTATTTTTAACTTATTTTTATTTTTTCTTTTTTTTAATTTTACTTTTTTTTTTTAATAATAATAATAATAACTCTAAAAAAAATTAATTTAAAAATAAAAAACTAATTATTTTATTTATTTTAAAAGTATTTTAACTTTTATTTAATTTTCTATTTATTATTAAGGATATTTTTTTTTTAGCCTTTATAAGGTCTATTTATATTTATTTGTTTATAGTAATTAATTATAGTAACTTAACTAATATTTCTTTAGGCTATTTACTAAGCTCTAGTACTAGTATAAAGTAAAAGGCTAATAATAGCTACTCTAAGAATATATATACTAAAAAAGCTTATAAGCGTATTAAGGAAATAATAAAGGAAATAAAAGAGCTTAAGAGGACTAAAAAGTCCTTTATTACTTAAAAGAATTATAAGCTAATTACTCTTAAGAAGTCTTAGCTATATATTAATAGTATAGCTTTAATTAAAGCTAATATAAAGGCTAAGGTAATTAATAATATTACTGTTATAGTATAAATAACTTTCTTTTTATCTATTTTATACTTATTTTTAACTTTAAAAATAAATAAGCAAAAAGTAACTATTTAGAAATTATTACTATATAACTTAGTCTTTATTAGGTCTCTTTTAAGAGCTAAGCCCTTATCTAAATTAATAATAATAATTAAGTTATTTAAAATAATAATAATAATAATAACTAAAAGAAGATTTTTTTTTTTAGTTTAAAAAAGTAAATAAAAGAAAAGCTAACTAATCTTAAAGATTACTATAACTTTAAAGTTAGTTCTTTTTTTATTAAAAGCATTAATATTTAGCAAAAAATATAAATACTTATTATTAAATATAAAAAAATAAGTAATTATTATAAAAAATTATTATAAATTACTAATAAAACTAAGATCTTATTTATTAAGAGTACTACTATATAACTAATGGAAAGGGGCAGGGTTTCGCGTTTTCATTTTTCCTTTTATCAGCCTGCAGACACAATCACAGGCCTGATCAGATGTGACTAAGCAGGACCCT